CGTTGGGTCTCAGATGCAGCCCTCACAATCTCTTAGGAATCATACATTTTAGGTCTATGAATTGGCAAGTTTTCTTAGTAAAACAGAGAGGATATTTTCACATAATTTAAAAGAGAATTTGGGGACTCTGCATTTTTCAACGCCAATGCCTGGTTTGAATACTGTCTATTATTTCCTTCATTCTCTAATTTCTCATCTCTCAGACTTACGGACAATCCTTTGGTGATAGAAGCCGATGATTTCCACACATGAAGTGATACATGCGATCTTCCTGAAGATCTGTATCGCACGGATACTCATATAAAAAGGAACAAGTAATACTCTCTTCCCCACTGGAAGACAGTAATTCTTTTGCTGATGTCAATTTGTAGGCACCCTGCAGTAGAACTGCCTCAGTGTAATTCCTTAAATACAGGATCTTGGCTATTACAAAAGCCATATGATCAAATGGACTAAAAGGTCAGTAAGCTGGCAGGAGAAGAATGGATTTAGTACAAAAGAAGTAGAATAATCAATGACCTCAGAGATTTCTGACAAATCAGATTTTCTATTGAAGGCAGAGATATAAATAGCACAAACACAATACAGACACATAGAAACAAAAGCCACCAACTCAACTTTCTGTTTGACAACTTGTTAGGTCTAGAGAACTGTTCAAACCACAGCTGCTAATGGTTATGGATTTGGCAATCAAAATGTCTTTGTTAAAAAAAAGGTTTTAACTGCCTTACTATTGAGGTTACAAACCACAGCCTTGATGCATTGTTGCAGTCAACATCCTCCCTGCTGTTTTTGAGAGCTTACATCTGCTGCTGGCAGATAAAACCCTGGCAAGGCATGGGCTTCTTCCAGGGGAGTACAGGAGAAGTTTTAACTAGATGGCTCTCATCTACCTTTCTTTCCTGAGTTGAGCCTACAGCCTTTGCTGTATCATTCCTATCTTGTTTAGGTAGATCCCCTGCCATTACTCAGGAGGACTGATGGTCTAGCAGGATTTTTTTCTGGCACACATCAGCCATGCCAGCCATACTACTTTTAGAAGACAAAAGGAAGATGAGATCTTAGCTCAGGGGAAAGCACTTTAAACACATATTTTTAAAGCCACTTATAGAGTGGTGCACTTGATTTTAAACATCCACTAATAAAACCTTTTCTGTTTTTTTTTTTTTTAAGGAACTAAATGATCACACTATGCCAAAAATAGTGAGGGCTTAGTATATTTTAACTTATCAAAGAAAAGCCAAGAATGAAAGGTCAGGAAGTAAATTACTGAGTTTCTTTGGGGAAGGAAAAAGTTAGGAAAAAGATGGAGAATTAAAACATGGTTCCAAGTCACACAGGAGATTAGTTTCAGTTGAAATAAAAATTACTAGATCCACACTGGTTTTCAAAGAAAATATGGGACTTCCCTGGTAGTCCAGAGGTTAGGACTCTGCACTTCCACTTCAGGAGGCACGGGTTCGATCCCTGGTCGGGGAACTAAGATCCTAGAGGCCCCGCAGTGCAGCCAAAAAAGTAAAAAAAAAAAAAAAAAGGAAAATGCAGTTCAGCTGGGTGATGAGGAATGAGAGTGAAGATGCAGAAAGACATAAGTCAGGAAACTGTTTCCTGGATCATTCTCCCTCAGTGAACCGACCTATGAGGACAAAAAAACCCAAACATACTTAGGCTAGCACTTGCTAACTATATATATATACCACAAGATACCAGTATGCAAATATGTTGGTGGGGGCTGTTGTGGTCAGAAAGGTATGAGAACACTGCATATTACATTCACCAGATAAATCAGAGAATTGTATCAGAGTCAAAATGCACACCAGCACATTCAGGGCTCTGAGAAATTCTGCAGTAAACAAACAAATTTGTTTAATCCAAATAAATTTTCCAAATGTGTGTGTCAACAGAAACCCCTCACCCCCCTGTTTTTCCAGAAAACACCTATGCCATGGAATAGTTTGGGAAATGCTAGTCTAGGGGTATTACCCCTAAACTCTCAACTCATTCTTGAAAAGACGAGAATAACACTGGTAAAACAGACTAAGCAATCACAATTCTTACATCACAGAACCCTAGCTCAAACAGAGACAGGTAGATTACCAAAGGTGCTCGAGACATTTTCCAAAAGACAGCCAAATACCAAAGCTACGACCTTTAAAAGTGGTAAGATCCTCACTCAATAAATAATCCCCAAATAGGGCTAATATCAATTGTGAATACATTCATGTGCTACTCTCAAACACAGAAAAGAAAGAATGGGGAAAAGCCACAGAAAAGCTGACCATAGGGAAAATGGATATGGGCTCCTGTTTGATGAAACCTCATGGCTTTTGGCATTTTAGGATATTCTAATGTCATACACATCAGGGAAATTCATAAAGAGTTGCCAGGACCTCCAGCTGGGAACATATGGGAGGATTCCTACACTTCTATGTGCTGCCCTCAGCATCCTCAGGACAAAAGACAGAATATAAGCTCAGGTAGGAGTATCATGCTGACCTGAAAGAGAGGTACCCTTGAGAAACCAAAAAGATTTGTTTTGTTAATTATATTTCTAATTCCCATAAGCCTTGTGGTACTCTATAGATTAGGATTACAGCCCCCTACCCTTCTCAACACAAATTTGTGGCAGAAAGAAGATTGGTTAACTGCCTAGAAATTGAATTCATTTGACCTTGTATCAAGTGGTGGTCTGCTTGATCAACAAATGAGAAAGTAAGGGAAGGCCCCTGGCCAAAACACCACCCACACTGCCAGATGCTCCTGGGTTCTCTTTTAGAATGCAAATATCCTCATAAGAAAATATAACACATCAGGTGATACTAAGCTCTTCATGAGTCTCTAAAACTGTAAAGCCTACACCAATGTAAGGAATTTTTACAATTATTACTTCTAGAATGAAAAAAAGGGAGGAGAGGAAAGAAGACATTGAAAAAAATCAGCAAAAGGTCCATAGATAGATAGAACAGGCACAAGTGGTGTGGAAAACAAAGGGCCTCCATGTATTTACAGTTTTGCCTAGGTCTAGATCAGGTACTAAGAAGGGAACAAAAGGGTCGGAGTCAAAATTCACACTTTGTTATACAGTAGAGACTAACACACCATTGTAAAGCAATTATACTCCAATAAAGATGTTAAAAAAACACACAAAATTCACACCAAAACGCAAGCACTGTACTCATATACATAATCAGAAAAGGGCTGAGGAGGCAATCCACAAGCAAATGAAAGACAGAAAACTAGAGGGACTTCCCTGGTGGTCCAGTGGTTAAGACTGTGCTTGCAGCGCAGATCCCTGGTCGGGGAACTAAGATCATGCATGCCGCACGGCGTGGCATTAAAAAAAAAAAAAATACAGACAGAAAACTAGAGGGATAATAATTACTGGCTAAAACCTGTGAGGAACGAACAGAGGGAGTGAGATAGATGGGAACAGTATTTTGTTTTGTTTTGTTTTTTTAAAGCAGACACTGGGACTTCCCTGGTGGCGCAGTGGTTAAAAATCTGCCTGCAGGGCTTCCCTGGTGGCGCAGTGGTTGAGAATGCAGGGGACATGGGCTCAAGCCCCGGTCTGGGAGGATCATTCCGCGGAGCAACTAGGCCTGTGAGCCACAACTACTGAGCCTGCGCATCTGGAGGCTGTGCTCCGCAACAAGAGAGGCCGCGACAGTGAGAGGCCCGTGCACCGCGATGAAGAGTGGCCCCCGCTTGCCACAACTACAGAAAGCCCTCGCACAGAAACGAAGACCCAACACAGCAAAAATAAATAGATTAACTAATAAACTCCGACCCCCAACATCTAAAAAAAAAAAGAATCCACCTGCCAATGCAGGGGACACGGGTTCAAACCCTGGTCTGGGAAGATCCGGGAAGATCCCACATGCAGCGGAGCAACTAAGCCCGTGCGCCACAACTACTGAGCCTGTGCTCTAGAGCCCGCGAGCCACAACTACTGAGCCCGTGTGCCACAACTACTGAAGCCCGCGTGTCTAGAGCCCGTGCTAAGCAACAAGAGAAGACACTGCAACGAGAGGCCTGTGCACCACAATGAAGAGTAGGCCCTGTTCACTGCAACTAGAGAAAGCCTGCGTGCAGCAACGAAGACCTAATGCAGCCAAAAATAAATAAATTAATTAATTAATTAATACACCTATATAAAAAAAAGCAGACACTAATAGCAGTAATGAAAGGCACAGAAGAGTCTGCAAAGCAAAGAATTTACTGAGAAAATTAAGCTGAAGAATATGTTCTTAAGCACAGTGATGGAACCGCTATTGTGTAAAGTAACTGTTCAAAAAACAGGAAAACCATACTGTTAGGTAAGACTTTTTAGGCTTTAAGGATGGAGTTTCCCACTTTGGATTCCTGCTAGACTAAACATAAGGCTCTAAATTTCAAGAATTTTCCAATTAAGCTAAAGTCCTTCAGCTCCCTCTGCTGTTCAAAAATGTACTCTAGTTACGTCAGTTCAATCTTCAGTAATCAAAATAAATAAAAATACATACATACAATATGTACACACATACACACACACACCCCCAAAGCTGGCACAGTCCTGGCAATCAGAGTTCAAATACACTTGTCTTTCATGAATTCCCTGGTCTGGACCAAACGTTCCAGAGTACGTAATAACAAATTCTACCATTCCCACTACCTAACTGAAATAATTCAAGGAATGATGAAGGATTTCTTTGCCAAGAGCCGAAGTTTTATTAAGGGATGAGGACTCTACACTATTAGCTGGATTGTGGCAATAGCTTTTTAGGCAGAAATGTATATGTACCAGTCCTCCACACACTAGGAACCAAAGCATCACTAAATTTTTTCCATTTCTCCCATTGTCTTTTCTCTCCCCAATATTCCCTCCTTAGAAGATTCTCCAAACATGTCTAAATTCAGTTTCTAGCTCCTTACTATCTACAGGATACTCTGAGTTGAAGGATCTACAGGTCAGCTACTGTGGCAAACAAAGCATCTGTCCCAGAGAAACACTCTTTACTCACCTGATTCTTAAATTGCTTCTGGGACAAGCAGTCAGTTAGGTCCACACAGCCCAGAAGACAACCTGATGGATAGTCATTGGGAAATTCCACATCTAAATTGAGAATAACAGAAGGATTACATAAATTTCTTCTTTGTGACCCTGGAACTCACAAATCTGTCTTCAATTCTGAACAAATCACTTTCTCTATTATCTATTTATGGACATAAGGAAAACAATGAGGCTTTTTACTTGGCACAACTGTTTGTATTTTAGCAAAACATTTAGTGAGTAGCTGGCTTAGTCCACTATCCACATCCTAAACTATAGGAAAATAAGCCTCATACCATTGAAGTTCAAGGACCCCACAACCTCACTCGAAACAAATCAATTCCACTATACCCAACTGGATCAGACTAGAATTTGGTGGTGACAGGTTCTGGAAACAAGCTTGAGGTGTCAAGAGAAAAACATAAAAATGCAGTTAAGAAACATAAGAATGTCAAAACATGAATTTAAAAGAACCCAGGGACTTCTCTGGCAGTCCAGTGGTTAAGACTCTGCACTTCCACTGCAGAGGACGTGGGCTCGATCCCTGGTCAGGGAACTAAGATCCTGAATGCTGCAGGTGCACACACCCCCAAATAATAATAATAATAATAATATAAATAAATAAATAAAAGAACCCAGTCATACCAGTCAAAACAGAAATGCATTTTTAAGGAAACATATACTTTTAATTCCTAAAGCTTGGTTTCTTAACTTTTAAAGGTGGTTCTGTAATTATCCTCTCATTTTACCTTCAAAACTACTGTGTGGGCTGAATAAGAGGAAGGAAGCCAAGACATCCAAGGGTCAGAAGTGTTTTTTAGGATCCAAACTGAGTGTTTGGCGTGACTGTCAAAACTCACTGCTTAAGTCAACCAACTTTGATCTGTCCAAATCCAATAGCATATGTCTATTTGAGTCACTCCCAATAATAAAAAGTCTTATTTGCGGTTGTTCTTCCCAATCTAAAGATCCCAGAATTTATAGTAGTTATTTTATTCTCATAATAAAAAAAATGTAGAAAATTAAGACTAATTAAGAAAATTAGTTGGTTGATTTCTGGTGTTGGGAATGGATATTTTTATTTGTACTGTTTGGTGAATTAATGTTTTGAACAGCTGTCCATGATTTGCTACTAAACAAACAAACAAACAAACACAAAGTTTAAAGTCCCTTTCAGCCAAAAAAAAAAAAAAACCACAAAAAAGCCACAGGAAGAAGGAGGTGAAAGAAGAACATCAATGACTTCTCTCCACAAAGTAAGACTGAAATTAGAAGAATATATGGCCGTTACCTTTCCCACGAAGGAGAAGATATGTAGTCTGGAGTTCTGAAACTTCTTGAGGAGAGGGTCTTTTGGCTGTGGCTGCTATCCAAAGTCGTCCTCTATGTGGGGTGTACCAGCTTCTGCCCTCCACCCTTAAACAAATACAAATTTAGTAGAAAGAATCTAAATTTTAGTGTCTTGGAAGATCTCATAACGTACAGCAAATTATCCAGTTGAACCAAGAGATCTATAGATGATACCTCACCAAGAAGGGTATTTTTCGTAAAAAACATTTTTCCTACAATACCTTTCACTTGTGTATAAACCCTGTTCTCTAGTTTTCCCTATCATCAGAACAAAGGCAATTCATCTCTCTCAGTTCCTATTTTTTACTTGATGTCTGTAACTCAGAAATGAAGCTTTCACTAACCTTGGGACTTCTACAATCCAAATCTTCTATTTTCAAGGCATCCAAGTTGTCCCACAAAAATGAAAATCCTTGCCTTTGAGTCATGAAAGATTTTGTTCATTGTTCTCCAACCTGACAGAAAAATCCTCACCCACACATAACTCCCCAAGAATAGTACCTTCATAATTACTATTTAATAGAATTTAAGTAAATAAAAATGCTTATCGTCTTTACTCTAAATTGCAACCACATTCATTTATATTTTCTAAGTATTTTATAAAGGGTTATGTTCTTTGCAGATAATTAAACAACCCATTAGCTAGTTTGAAAGAATCTTTAAGTAGAATAACAAAATGCAATCAAGAGAATGTATTACTGCCTACTTTCCAAGGATTACAAAAAGATGTTTCTCCTTTAGTTCCTACAAAATGAAATAAAGTAGCTTGATAATATAACCCTATTATACTTGCCTTATAATGGGAAACGGAATTTCTCATACCCTTAGTTTTCCAATATAGATGAATTGGAAGAGCACCAGGCACACAGTGGGTACTCAATAAATGAGGAATGAATCAATATATTTCTCCCTCTACACCAAATGATCCACAGGGTTACTGGGAAAACGTTCTCACAAATGTGGCAGAACCACCCACTTTCTTTCTGTGGGATTAGTGATTGTGGGCTGGATGCTGTTCATCCTGTTCTTTCCAGTGAGAAAATCTGGATAACAGAGATCCAAAACAGGACGAGACAAATGTAAACATTCTGATTCCCTCTGCAGAAAGCAAGCTGTTTAGTTTTCTACTTTGGAAAAGGAAGACACCTCAACTGCAGAGAACTGAAAGAGAAGAATAGACATCTGAGGGCCCAGGTGCCCTGGAGCAGAAGCAGATTCACATATACTTGTTGTAATGCCACTACATACATGGATTATGAAACACTTTGGAGCCAAAGAAAGAAAGCCTGACCTTGAAGAGGGGAGAAAAATGATAACACACCTTCACGAAGGAGGCAAATCTCAACTAACCATGGAAACCAACAAAGTAGAAATGATTGTTCCTAAATTCTGATAATAAATTTTCTTTCAGGAAATAGAGAAATGACTGAGGCTTACAGAGTAAGGGTGGAAAAAGCACTCTGAAAACCTGAACTCTAGTTCTATCTCTGCCACTAACTAGCTTTGTAATTCATAGCAAGCTCCTTTACCTTTGCCTGCTTAGGTGTTCAAGATTGTAATAATACTGGTCTGATCTACTTCAATACAGCTACTGCTTTGAAAACTGTAAAATTCTATTTAAATATAAATACATAAGGCATTATTATTGTTATGAGTTAGGACACTCCCAGGGATATAAAATTCTAAGAGATAAAATAAGAAAGAAAAAAGAGGTATCTGCATCCCCACATTCATTGCAGCATTATTTACAACAGTCAAAACATGGAGACCATGTAAATGTCCATCAATGAATGGATGGATAAAGAAAATGGATGAAGATTATTCAGCCATAAAAGAAAATGAAATCTTGCCATTTGCAGCAATATGGATCAACCTTAAAGTATTATGCTAAGTGAAATAAGTCAGAGAAAGATAAATACTTTATGATCTTACATGTGCAATCTGAAAAAAACAAACTCATAAATATGGAGAACAGACTGGATGAAGGTAGTCAAAAGATACAAACTTCTAATTATAAGATAAATCCTGGGGATGTAATGTACAGCACGGTGACTACAGTTAACAATACTGTATTGTATAGTTGAAAGTTGCTAAGAGAATAGATCTTAAAGGTTCTCATCACAAGAAACAAAAAATTTGTAACTATGTAAGGTGATGGATGTTTTGTTTTGTTTTGTTTGTTTGTTTTGCGGTACGCGGGCCTCGCACTGTTGTGGCCTCTCCCGTTGCGGAGCAACAGGCTCCGGACGCGCGGGCTCAGCGGCCATGGCTCACGGGCCCAGCCGCTCCGCGGCACGTGGGATCTTCCCAGACCAGGGCACGAACCCGTGTCCCCTGCATCGGCAGGTGGACTCTCAACCACTGCACCACCAGGGAAGCCCAAGGTGATGGATGTTAACCAAATTTATTGTGGTGATCATTTTGCAATATATACATATATATGTAATCATTATGTTGTACACCCTGACGATGTTATATATCAATTATATCTCAATAAAACTGAGAAAACAAGGGAAAACGAACATGTAATGATAAGTGAAAGAAGAAAAACATAAACGTAAATATATATTATGACCTCATTATGTAACAATTTTCACAGGAAAAAGAATATAAATAAATACTCCAAAATGCTAACGGTAGCTGTTTCTAGGTGGTGGAATTATAGATGATCTTTCTTTTTCTAGCTGCTTTTCTGTATTTATCAATTTTCTATTTACATTTATAAAAGCAAAGGAAAGAACTATTTTTTAAAAGTTGCATTGAGAAGAAACATATGAAACCATGGAATAGTAAGCTATTACCATCACTAACACGTACCACGACTTAACTTTATAATACCTCTACTTATCCCTCACTACTTCCCCCACTTTTTGCAGAAAAGGAATTTGTGGTAAGATAGCTTCTCAATATGGTTACTCAGATTAAAAGACAGATGTATAGATAGAAAAACAAAATCAGTTAGGCTGGTGTCTTCAAAAAACTAATAAATAGGCATAAAAACTTTGAATTTCCAATAGGATCAAACCATTAAGGTTGCTGAGTGATATATTATTGTACAAAGGCAAAGCCAAGAGAAGTTTTCTCAATAGACTTCCTTCCAAAGATGAAAAAACTTATGTTCTATTCTTTATTATGACTAGGATCCTTAGTCCTTCTAACCTCAGTTTTTTTAAAGCTATTCAGTAAAGAACAAGTCCATAACATGAATACATTGCTTAAAGTTCTATGTGCTGCAGAGTATTATAAATCATCGCTAGATTACTTTCATGGTAAGGTGTTACCTGCTATATTGGGTTGAGTAGCATCCGTCCCAAACTTATGTCCTCCCAGATGAATTCCAGTCCAAGTTTATGTAAAATCTTCCAAGATTCATTTCTGTCCTTACTATTTTTTTTTATTTAATTTTTTATTTTTTGGCTGCACCGCATGGCATGCGGGATCTTAGTTCCCTGGTCAGGGATCGAACCCACACCCCCTGCAATGGAAGTATGGAGTCTTAACCACTGGACCACCAGGGAAGTCCGCCTCATTTCTGCCCTTACCTTTTAATCCCTCTGACAAGTAGAGAAGCCCAAGGCTGATGCATAGAGAGGCACCAGCCACCATCAAAGCCTTCCTGAAATTCTTGGTCCTGGATTCGAAACTGATGCCGACATGAACTGAACTCTAGTCTTGATCCTGCTGAATGGAAAGCCTTCTTCTGTGAGGCTGCACCCGTCTGATCTATCCACTATACAGGAAAGAAACCAAACATATAATTTTGTCTGACAAGGGAAAAATCTGGGGTAGGTACACAAAATGAGATGAATTCTAATATTAATGAATCGTACTAGAAACATTCTCTTAGAAAAATGTATCCCATCTTTGTCTGAAACAGGGTCAAAAAACGTACAGAAGGTATAAATTCAGTAGGAGTCCCAGGTATGATAACATGGTCCCGTCTTAAAGGATAGTTAGATAATGTTGAATTCTCCACACACAGCTTCCTAATTCCAGCAACAGTACAACCATCAGACCAAATAATTGGTCTGTAATTATTTCCACTTTAAAATGATTAATGATCCATATTGGACAATTTCCCAATATAATTCTATCAGCCAAATGAAGGTTCAACATTTTGGTCCATACATTCTTCATGTGCTTAAGGGACAGGGTCACATACTGTTACCATGATAAAGCCAAACAGATGCTTTCGGGGGGCAGCAGTTCTGACTATTGGATGCATGAAGTGTTCTCTTATCCTGAAAGGAACAACTTGTCCCCCAAAAGACAGGATGAAGCACTACTGAAACAAGGTTCCCATCATGTAAAGAGAACACAAAATTACAGGGTACAGATAATTACAGGAGACTAAAGAGTCTTGGCAGTAGTTCAGTCAGAGAATGACAAAGGGTAACATTTCTTCCAGAGTAAGAAGACTGAGTGCTCTGAAAATTATTTTTTTTTAAAAAAAAGGCTCTATTAGGATGATGAGGTTTAGAGTTAGGTGTGTTAATTTTTTGATGTTTTATTTAATTATTTGTAGGGAAAACAAAAATACTAGAATGGTAGTCTAGAGACTCCAAGCAATCATTTAATCCCTAAAGGTTTCAGTTTTCTCAACTGTAAAATGATGGAGTTGGACTAAATGAATCTCTAAGAATCTTTCTGCAATAAAATTTTATGACTGTAATCAATTGTGTCATAGCTTAAAAAAACTACACAAACATTTACTATTTAACTCAGTATATGTGAAAAGCATATAAAGTAGGGAGACATATAAAATATAAAAAAGATATGGTTCTTGCTTTCAAGGAACTTACAATCCTACGAGAAGACAGACACATAAATAACTATCCAAAACATAAAGCAGATTTAAGTAAATACTACACAGGGATTTAAGTCCTTAAGTGGGAACACAGAGGCAGAACTGATCTATTACAGGGGAAATAGGTGATTTCATAAAACTGTTGGCGTATGAACAATCCCGAGGCCCAAATTGTCTGTTCTATCTCTATTACAGTTCTTGTTTATACTACCTGTTTTTCTTCTTCACAGCTACTTTCCTAACTTAATCTTACTGTCTTTCAATAACACTATATTAGAGCCTGCTAACTAGTCTCATCTCCATTTTTAGCCTCTAAGTAACTCTCTACTGCCTTACTAACGGCAACACTAAATTGGGCCCTCATCATCTTCCCACTGTGCTACTTCAATAACCTGTTTTTTGGTCACGTGGCATGTGCGATCTTAGTTCTCCGACCAGGGATCAAACCTGTGTCCCTTGCACTGGAAGCGTGGATTCTTAACCACTGGACCACCAGGGAAGTCCCTACTGCAATAATCTTCCTAGCAATTTCCCTGCTTCTGTCTTAGTCTTCCCTCTAATCCATTCTCTACATAGGCACGGAAGTCATGCCAATTGTCTGCTAAAGTTCTTCAAGGACTCTTCCTTGCCTACTGTAGAATAAAACTAAACTCCTTAGCATGAGACATAAGGACTTTCATGGTAAGATGTTACCTGCTATACTGGGTTGAGTAGCATCTGTCCCAAATTTATGTCCTCCCAGAACCTGTGAAATTGACCTTATTTGGAAACAGATGTAATCAAGTTAAGATAAAGTCATACTGGATTAGGGTGGACACCAATCCAGTGACTGATATCCATATAAAAGGAGAAAACACACAGAGACAAAGACATACAGGGAAAAAGTCCATGAAAAGACAAAGGCAGAGTAAAGTTACGCAGCTATAAACCAAGGGATGCCTGGGGCCATCAGAACCTCAAAGAGGCAAGGAAGCGTTCTCCCATAGACATTCGGAGGGAGTATGGCCCTGCCAACACCTTGACTTCAGTGTTGAGAACTGTGAGAGAATAAATTTGTTGTCTTAAGCCAACCAGTTGTGGTATTTTATTATGGCTGCCCTAGGAAACTAATACACTTACTAGCGCAGTTTAATTTCTAACAGTACTTAATTACTTGTGGTTCTCCCAACCTACGATGCTCTCAAGCTGCTAAGCCTTTCTACATGTTATACCACCTACCTAGAATTCCCTCCCCAAATTTGTCTGCTTGGAAATTCCTATTCATCCCTTAAGTCTCCTCTCAAAAACCATTTCTTTTGTGACTCCTCTGTGAGTTTATAATCTCTCTCCTAAACTCCTACTGTATCCATGACATGTGTCTATCATAGCAATTATCTTAAGGAACTGAAATTCTTTGTATTCAAACACATCTTCCCACTAAATTTGAAGTCCTTAAAAACTTTAAGGGCTCTTACCTTTTAATTTCCCAGCACCTAGCAAAGAACCTGGCATGTATACAGTGCTGAATGAGTATCTCCAGTCAAACTCCCTAAAGCACTGCTCTGATTGCATCTCTCTGCTCAAGAACATTCTATGATTCACATTTATTTACAAAGTAAAAATGTGAAATCGTCCTAGCTAAACACTTAACTCTGTAGTGATCTGACTCTATCTACCTAACTACTCCATTTCTCATGATAATCCCTTTTAAAATTATTTATTTATTTTATTTTGAACTTTAAAGATCAGATTTGTTTGGAGAAAACAAAAAACCCCACAACCTAAAGGATGGGATTTTACATCTCAAGACCTCTCCCAGGTATGAAGTCTATAGATTACAAATCACTTTCGTAGAAGATATTTTTGTACAAATTTTACATGTATTGAGGAGTGGGGTCATAAATGCCTGTTTGTTTTAACAGGGTGGCAGGGTAGAGGAATGGGGGGAAAAACAGCTTTTTTGGACACACATCTGTTTGGAAGGAGCAGACATGAAGAGAGCAAACCCTACTTTTGCATCATCTATAGCAAATGGTTTAAAAAAATACCCTCTCAACCTTGGGTATCTCTAAAAGCCACTTCCTAGCTACTAGGCACTCCAAGCCAATTATTTAAAGTTACTTCACTTGGTATGTCTTTTATGTCCACTGGGTAAATGATTATTATGCTCACTGCTGCAGCACTCATAAACCAACAACCCTGCATGGCTGGACAGGGTCTAACCTAGGACTGATGCGAGAGGAGACCAAGATGTCTTTTCTCTGCAGGTACCAATATTGCCCGTAAGGACACCATCTGTTGAGCTGACAGTACCAAGGTGCACATAAAAGCAAGCAAGTAAAGCTACTGTGTTGCAAGAGAAGCCAGGACCTTGTGAAATTGTTCTTCTCCTTTATCATTTATTCTCTGAAGGGATGCTAAAAAAAAAAACAGAACCAAAAAAAACACACATTGGTCTAGGCCACATTATAAATCCAAACATTGGTGTGGGATTTCACTTGGAGATAAGGAAACTTTTGTTTTTTAAAAAGCTCCCCAAACCCCAATCAAGTCTGTAAGAAAGGCTCCCAATTTAACCAACCCCGCTTACCATCTAAGACTGGTAATTCTAAAGTTTTCTGAGGTGTCAAAGGGGTCAAAGTAGCAGGAGCATGAATGGCTGGAGGGAAGGAGTGAGTGTCAAAACATGAAGGAGCCAAGATTGGCTTGAGAAAAAGCAATGATGATTCCTCACTGAACAGCTCCCAGGGGCTCTAGAGAATGCTTAGGAGGTCAAGTATGTGACTTAAGCAGAAGCTGCCTGTGGGAAGGTAACAGGAAAGAGTAGCATGAGGAACATAAGACGATGACAAGAGTCTAAATTTTTAAAGCTTCAAGATTTCAACAGAATATGGATATATTTGAACTTTCAGAAGGGATAGTGTTTAAGAAAGGGTGAAACCACGACACATAAAAGACCTGGGAGGGGCTTCCCTGGTGGCGCAGTGGTTGAGAATCTGCCTGCTAATGCAGGGGACACAGGTTCGAGCCCTGGTCTGGGAGGATCCCACATGCCGCGGAGCAACTAGGCCCGTGAGCCACAACTACTGAGCCTGCGCGTCTGGAGCCTGTGCTCCGCAACAAGAGAGGCCGCGACAGTGAGAGGCCCGTGCACCACGATGAAGAGTGGCCCCCGCTTGCCACAACTAGAGAAAGCCCTTCCACAGAAACGAAGACCCAACACAGCAAAAATAAATTAATTAATTAATAAACTCCTACCCCCAACATCTTCTTTAAAAAAAAAAAAGACCTGGGAATTCCCACAACCCCTAAGTGTTTCCTGCTCCAGGAGGTAAATGATTATGTGTTTACTGGAGGTCATACCATTTTCCCTATTACTGGTGCAAAATAATTCATCAAATCCCCAAGCTTCTTTTCAAACCATGATTTCCCCATTCATTCAGGTCACCAAACAGTCCTATTCTTCAGTGGCCTGTAGACTCACTCCCACCTAGCCCCCTGGGGGGTACAAATGAAGGAACTCCCCCATAGGCTGGCCCCAGTAACTCAGAATTAAATAAGAGGAGGGGCTGGCAGCCTCCTGGAGACTAAAACAACATCAGAGACTAAACCTACCTTGCCGAGGACGGAGAATTTATTCAGATAATGTTTGAGAATTCATGAATGCCATAACTGGATGATAAGAATTAAAGGTAGAAACCTCACACTCTTCCTTATACCTGCCTGCTGCCCAACCAGATTCAAGACACTGCATCACTATCACTGCCATTTTGCTAAACGGAGGCCCCTAGGCACTAATCACACAGGCAACTGCACGTGTCATAAAAACGCACCACAACTTTAAACGTACAGCATTAAAGGCTGTACGTCTCTCTCTGGCTACACTGGTGAGTCTCCAGTTAGTTCAATACTTTAAAGGCTGCAGCAGCATGCAAAAGAATTTCATTTTGTTTCTTTTATAAAAAAAAAAAAAGTTAAGAAAGGTCTCCAGGAGACGGTGAGTTTTATTTTGTCTTGTCTGGATGGAGGTTTGATTTGCTCTCGAATGTTCCAGGGTGGTGAGAGACTAGGAGAAAGCACAGAATGCAGAGGTCTATTCGGTGTAATCTTCTCCCTCATTTTCATCTTCACCATCAATGGCAAGAGCAGCATACTTGCTTGCAGAACTGAACTTAGAGGCTGGATTTTCTTCAGCTTTCTTTGGCTCAGGTGCAGATCTGGAGTCTTGATCCTTTTTGCCATCTTTCCTATCTGACTCCTTCCAGTGGTCTTTGTTCCCTCCATCTCTTGGACCACGGCTGGAATTTCCACTTTGGGCTTTTGGGGCACTCACCTCATCTACTTTATTTTCATCTTTCCTTACTGGTCCTTCCTCAGATGGTTGAGCTGGAACTACTTTCCCTCCACCACTTGTAGGGGACTGCTGCTCTGTGTCTGAGCTCTGAGATCAAGCAGGAGGGTTAGAACTTCGCTTCATCCAAGCATTCTCCTTTGGTGGAGGGGCTGGCATAACCTTTAGAGGCTGTTCGGATTTGGGAGGCTTAGAAGTTGGAGACTGACAGTTTTCCTCTTTATTGGGTGTTTCATTTTCTAGAGACTTCTCAGTCTCCTTCATGCATTTCTGCCAGATGTGGCTGAGGTCCCCATCTGTGATGACTCACTTCCTGTCCTCGACCGTTCCCGTTCCTGAGTTTCTTCACTTCGCCAGCTTGGGTGTCTCTCCCGAGGCCGTCGTTCTAGTTTTGGCTCATCCAGCTGACGCTGCGGTTTCTCCTATTCCTTCTGTAGCCGCTCTTCTACTTCTCGTTCTCTAGCAGCTGTGTCAACAGGCTTTGTCCCTCCAAAGATAGAGGCTGCTCGACTGGACTGGGACGTGCTAGCAGTGGAATCATTTTCCTCAGGAGTACTACGAGGCTTTAGGGTCAGTTTGGGTCTTTGGGGGGGACCTCTATCATCACACCTATAATCATCCCGAGAGTAATCATCTCTGGAGCTCTATGACCGGTCATCTCATCTGTCATATCTGTCTTCACAGCGGTCCCCGCCTCCTCTGTAGTCATCATCCCTACGGTACCCACTACCAAATGCTCTTCTGCCACTGCCTATCCTGGAATCGTAGCCTCTATCATAGTCTCTGCTGCCTTGGTCATTATAGCGATCTCAGCCCCCATATCAATCCATGTCCCGGCGTGGGCCATCAAGATAACTGTCCCGATACCCATCACGGTATCGGTCTGAATCGTAACGATCTGGATACTTGTCTCCAAAGCTATCATCACCTCTTCTAGGTGGGTAGTCATCAAAGCTGTAGCAGGACGGACCCTCCAGTCTGTATCTGTTTTGTCAGAATCCCAATTTCTATCTCAGCCAAAAGAACGACCATCCCTGTCTTTATCCTGTGCTTGATCAACAACGTCCACTCCAATTCTCCTGTTACCTAGAGACTCTTCATTGAGGCTCAGGGCACTGAGCAAGGAATCCAGGTCCTCAAACTCAGCATAACCAAAACCTTTCAACCCTCAGGATCATTGGGTTCACGTGGTAAACGCACTGCACTGATATTTAATCCTCTAAAGAACTCCTTAATGGAGTCTTCTGTCACATCATAGGGCAGGTTCCCTAGAAAAGCAGTGTAGGGTGGTGATTTGGTCGATATTGGGTTCCCAAGCAGCCCATGGAGCAGTGGGCAGAAAGGAACGGTCAATTGGAGGTGCCCTATACACATCATCATCATTACTATGCCAAGTGGTTGAAACATCTCCTTCTAGGTCCTCTGTTCCATCAGCCCACCTGACTGGTTTGGGGACATAGGTGCTTCCTTCACCAGTCCCTCTATCCTCAGCCAGGAAGTCTGTTACAGAGACAGTCTTCCCCTTCTTATTCTTCTTTTTTGCTGAGGCTGCCATGTTTGGAGAGGGAGAGAGAATGCAAAGGTTATTTATTTATTTGGTTGCTCCGGGACTTAGTTGCAGCAGGCTGGCTCTTTAGTTGCAGCTCGAGGGCTCCTTAGTTGTGGCTTGCTGGCTCCTTAGTTGCGGCACGTTGTCTCCTTAGTTGTGGCATGCACACTCTTAGTTGCAGCATCCATGTGGGATCTAGTTCCCTGAGTAGGGATCGAACCTGGGCCCCCTGCATTGGGAGTGTGGAGTCTTAACCACTTCGCCACCAAGGAAATCCCGATAATCCTTTTTATGAGTACTATCTTGGTAGTCTAAATTCACTATTCCCTATGTAGTTGATCCTTGAGCAACATGGGTTTGAGCTGTGTGGGTCCACTTATAAGTGGATTTTTTTCAATAGTAAATACTACAGAACTACATGATCAGCAGTTGGCTGAATCTGTAGATGTGGAACCTACTGTGGATGTGGAACTGATTTACAGAGGGCCAGCTGTAATTAATACACAGATTTTCGACTAGGCAGAGGGCCAGTGCTCCCAACCCTCCCTTGCACTGTTTAACTGCATATATGTATATACGTGTTTGTGTGTGTATCCCACACCTTATTCCTATAGTTAATTCTGATTGGAATTTTTTTTCCCACCATCCCCAAAAACCATTTTCTGGGATACCTACTTTTAAGGAATGCCAGCTTCCCTATAAAAGCCTCTTTCATTCCTCTCAACTGTCTTTCCCTCCTTTGGGTTTCCACTGTAATTTATTTGTATTTCTATTAATATTAGAGCTGCCTATGTAATCTTTTCCTCTACTAGTCTATGCATTCTTTGAGGATAGAAGCAGTGTCTGGTTGATCACTTACTTCTGTGATTATACATATTAGATGCTCAATGTACCTGATGGCAAAATGAATGACAACAATGAGTAAGTGAATTAACGTATTAATTTAAAACACCACACTATGGGACTACCCACATTCTATAAAAGATAGAGAAAGAACATTAACAAGAGGACCATGGGATTATTGTTTAAAATCTCTATAGTACTTAACAAAACCTTCTCTTGGGAAATGCTCAAATGATAACTTGTCACAAGTGCTGCAAAAAAACTGGAAAAATTGGGTCAGAGTATAAGATGGGTAGGAATACTGAGAGATCAGACTGGTATCTACAGCCTATGAAACAGGCACATTTGAAAGGAGAAATATCTGGGCCCAAACTTTTCCCATCATCAGAGCAAAGGTCCACTAACCTGGGGAGGCGACTGGTACAGGTTGGGATTCACCAGAAGTCCTAAAGGCTCTTCAGAAGATCTATCCAATTTGGTCGGTGGTTGGTTCAAGGTTCCATTGGCAAGGGCATGTATTGCCTCATCTAGTCTGTGATAACAAACAAAAGGATGCAATAATTGGTAATGTCCTATGCTAAGAATATCTTTATTTAGCACACACATAAAACTCTTCAACAGTAATAAAACTTGACACTCAAAGAGGGGTCCATGGATGACCTTCCCTGCTCCCCCTACCAACTTCCCCTTCTCTTCGCTCCAAGAACCCTAAGGAGTAGGAGTTGGTAGAAGTTCCAGAACACTAAGAAAATAGGTAGGGCACAAGACACTCATTCACCTCTTTAACAAGATTATTAGAAATGCCAAGATTAGAAAAGGTGCCTAGAAACAGTCTGACCCATAGAAGAGTATTCTATGGCAGCCTATTTCTCAACACCTTCAATTATTCTTCTGCCCACTCAGCAGTCCCTCTCCACTCTTCCACGCTGATCTGAAGTCTATCCTTGCTTCACTGCCCAAAACTTCTAAGGAGGCCCTATACCAGCCCAGTACAAAAGTACTTATTCCTTTCTCTGAAGTCCTGTAGCACTTACTATTTAAACAGTCATCAAATATACCCAATGTTATCCAGCGTCTATGGTGTTTGCTATGGATATCTGGCTCTCAACCTATAGAAGAATGTGATGATTTCATTTAAAGATTATGGAACTAACCCTACTGGTTAGTAAGAGATCATAGGTCTTGCAGGAACCATATCTTATTCTGCTCTACAGCTCTTCATTACTTGCTGCTGTACTCCATGTCCCTGACAGATGCTTGACAAATGTTTGTGGATGATGATTCTAAAGCACGATATAATGAAAAGCTTCTACTAGTAGGAAAGGCTGAACCTGACCTTGAATACAATTAAAGAGATATTTGTTAGGAACCTCTTATACACAAGGCAACTTAAAAGGAGAGGAGGACAGGGCTCCTGCCTTCAGGAAGCTTTAAATCCAAGTGGCAAGTTTAAGACAGCTATAAAGATGATAAACAAAACAGGAAGGATGCAATTATTACTGTAAGATAGATACAATCCATTTGGTGGTTATTATCCCATCATCCCATGTGTTGTACCAAGTACATTCAAAGGGGAGGTAGATATCTGAAAGGCAAAGATGGGAGGACGGATATCCAAAGTAAGGAAAAAGCAGAAACAAAGGCATGAACCAAAAAACAAAACAAAACAAGAACTTGAGGTAAGAGGCAAGTCTAAAATAGGATGGGGGGCTTCCCTGGTGGTGCAGTGGTTGAGAGTCCGCCTGCCAATGCAGGGGACACGGGTTCGTGCCCCGGTCCGGGAAGATCCCACATGCCGCGGAGTGGCTGGGCCCGTGAGCCATGGCCATTGAGCCTGCGCGTCCGGAGCCTGTGCTCCGCCACGGGAGAGGCCACAACAGTGAGAGGCCACATACAGCAAAAAAATAAATAAATAAATAAAATAGGATGGGGATGATGGAATCTAAAGGAAGGAAATAGATTTGAGACCTAGTACACTGGTTAAGTATATCTAGAACTCTAGAATCTATGAAAGAAATAGTATAAATAGCTAATCAATATATTTTTAGAATGCTCAGACTTACTGGCACACAAGCAAAGCAAAGCAAAAAAAAGTGAATAAAAATTATGATGAAATAACATTTTTCCTGTATCAGAATGGCAAATGTATTTTTTTAATTGTTGAGAAAGAGATGAAGAAACTAGCATCTAGGCACCTGGTGTCAAAAAGTCAAAAAATATGCACAATTTAAATTTTGAGATACTGTCCGATTTCACTTCTAAAAGGCTGTACCATTTTTTATTGAACATAAAAATGATTTTTCTTACACATAAAAATGATTTTTCTTACTATAAAAGCAATCAATGTTTATTACAGAAAAACTAGAAGATGCAAATTAATAGAAAGAAAATGAAAAATTCGTAAACCCATCACCCAGAAATAATTTTATTTTTTCTTTATATCTGTGTAGCATATATATAATAGTTAAAAACAAATTAATTATTTTGAAGCTAGTGGTAGAATTTGTTTTAGGGAGAGAATAACCTCTGATTAGGAAAATTCTGTGATGGATTTGCCACATATGAAAGAGAAAGACCGAGGACTGGACCGCGTAGAAAGCATTACTGTGTTCACCAATATCCAGTTTTCTGTGTGTGTGTGTGTGTGTGTGTGTGTGTGTGAGAGAGAGGAGAGAGAGACAGAGACAGAGACAGAGAGACAGAGACATATGTATGCCATTTCCAAAACGTGGAGTGAGATCTCCACGTGCTTTCTTTTCAGTACTGTGCTAGAGCTAATATGTGTATCTTTTCTCAACTCTGTTCAGTGACTTCATGTTGGTAACTTGAAATTGGCTGTGATATAAATTTTTTTCAATAAACTTTATTTTTTAGAGCAGCTTTAGGTTCACAGAAAATCTGAATGGAAGGTTCAGAGACTTCCCATTTACCTCCTGCCCTCACATATGCACAGCCTCCCCCATCATCAGCTATCCCTCACTAGAGAGGTACATTTGTTATAATTAATCAATCTATATTGACACATCAGTATCACCAAAATCCATAGTTTCCATTTGGGTTCACTCTTGGTGTTGAGACTTGAACATTTTAATATTCCCGTCCTTAGTAAGAGGGCATATCCATTTTCCTACACTCAAAGATTATGCAATATTATAAATTATAAATTTCAGACAATTTAATGATACATTATGTTTCAAAATGTGCATTTCCCTGATAAATAGCTGAGCATCTTTTCAAATGTTTATTGGCTATTTGTATTTCCTCACCTGTAAATTGTCTGTTCTTAGCCTTTGCCCATTTTTCTACTGGATGTGTCTTTTTAACTTGCAGCTCTTTATATACTATGGATATTGCTCTTTTGAACTGTTAAAACCGTTTAAAATGTTTTCTCTCAGTATTGTACTTCTTTATGTGATTTAAAATATCTTTGTCTTTTTGACTTCTGGGTTTTGTATCTTGCTTAGAAAGAACTTTATCATACCAGGACATTAACTATATTCTCCTAAATTTCTACTATTCTATTTCTTTCTGATCCTTTTATTTCTTTTGCATTTAACTCTTACTTTTCTTCTCTTTTTTTTTTTTTTTTTGGCCACACCACTTGGCTTGCAGGATCTTACTTTCCCAACCAGGGATCAAAACCAGGGCCCCAGCAGTGGAAGCTTGGAGTCCTAACCACTAGACTGCCAGGAAATTCCCTTGCACGTAACATACATACATACATACATACATACATTTATTTATTTATTTATTTCTCATTGTGGTGGCTTCTCCTCTTATGGAGCACAGGCTCTAGGCACATGGGCTTCAGTAGTTGTGGCATGCTGGCTCAGTAGTTGTGGCTCGCGGGCTCTAGAGCGCAGGTTCAGTAGTTGTGGCACACGGGCTTCGCTGCTCCGCGGCATGTGGGATCTTCCAGAACCAGGGATCAAACCTGTGTCCCCTGCATTGGCAGGCGGATTCTTAACCACTGCACCACCAGGGAAGTCCCTGCATTTAACTCTTTAGTCAAACTTATTCTCACAGTATGCTTTGAGGTAGAGATCTAACGTAGATTTTTTTCAAAGCTGATGGACCATCATTTATTTAATCCTTCCCTTACTGTTTAGAAAAGTTTTACACAACTATAGACACACACCCATACACACACAATGCAGACGCATGGGTCTCTTCCCAGATTCTATTATATTTCATTCATCTATTCCTGTGCCCAAACTGTACCTCACTGTTTTAAAAACAGTTTTTTATAAAACTACAGTAGTTATCTAGTAGGTCAAGTGGCTCTCGCTGTTCAATTCCAAAATTTTCTTAGCTACTATGCCATGTTTCTACTCCAAATGAATATGTTGCTCTAAAAATTAACAAAAATAACAGACTCGTTAAAGGGGGGGGCAAATCCTTTACAGTTAAACTGCCCCCTTCTTTCAGACCCTTTCTGGTGTTGTCCACTTACTTGCTGTGATACTCAGTTAGAGGATTTTCATCTTCCATGATCTTCCTGCCTGCAAAGTCAATGGTGATCTTCTTCGAGAGCCGAGAGGCATGTCGAAATTCTCTCAGCTCCTCCTCTCGCTTCTGTAGGGCTTCCCGTTCAATTTTGGACAACCACTGGTTAGAATCACTGGCAAAGTAATCTGACTCATCATCAATGACATGGGTCCTTCGAATGCTAAGGAAAAAAAAAAGAACACATGGCAGTTAGGTCACCTGTTGACAAACAGGGACTTGATTACTGGGAAGCTGTTTCAAGTAGCTCACTCTTCTGCTGTCCTGAAGGTTATCATCTCAAATATAGATGCTCAAGAACGTTCCAAAACTAGGTCAAACTCTGCCTGATTTCCAGCTTCTGCGTATACCTTATTCCCACTGCAGACTCAGCTCAGCTCTTAGAACGAATCTAACCCTTGGGGAGGAAAAGACACAGCACCAAAATCTATTGTCCTCCTATTTTCTTACTAGTCCAGCCCTCACCTTCTTATAACTGGGCTTATGTCTGATTTTGCCGCATCTGAGTTCATGTCTTGGCAGCTTACTCAATATCCTAGTCCTTCTACAATTGGGACCTAGACTATTCCTGCTAGGCCCAATTGCCGCTATTTCCCTTAGAAACTGGAGTTCCATCCTGGATTCTCAGTCCTATAAGCTTATTCTTAGGATATCTTTAATACTCTACTACTATATGTCAGTTTTCACCACCTCCCCCATCCCCACCCCAACCCTATCCCCAGTCCCTCATTTAACATATTTACAAGGGCCAAGTTCCAAGATATGACAATCAGGCCTATTTCTAAGATCATACCAACAAAGAAATTAACAACTAGAAGGAATCTTGATGATCCAACTCTCTCCTTCTACAGATAATAAACCTGGGCGTCAAAGAAGTTAAGTGACTACTCCAAAATCATAAATCAGTCTCAACTGCATAATTAATAATTAGTATGATATATTCAGGCATAGTGAAATACTGAAATCAGATTCAGATTTCATTCTTTCAGGACTCAGCTGGAATTATAAAAGTTTTAAAGTGGACTAAGAGTGGTACTATACACAAACCTACATAATGAAATTGGCGTCGTTAGAAACTCACCAGCATAAGGGCAATGCCAATAGGGAGAGACCCTTTTCCAGTTTCTGTTTATCAAAAAATGTACTCTATTTCTAATGATAAGTTTCACTGAGTAAGGATAAAAGTGATATTTAAGGATGAAGAGCAAATATTAGTCACAAACCTTGTGATGGGCTTATTAACGAAGAGCTTTCAAAGTATATCTCATGTATTCACAGCAAATGATTTGAAAGCAGCAGGTGTGTCTAACCAAAGGATTATAATGCTAGGAATAGACATATTCAGTTACCACAGTAAGAGATGCAGGGTCTTTCTAAGGATTCTCACATGGCCACTTGAGAAGTGAGCATGTAAGTCCTATTTAAACATTCTTTGCCACTAATTGGTCTTCAATACATATTTTTTCCAGAAGAAGAAAAAAATGAAAGAGAAAAAAATTAAACACAGAACTAACAAATCCATAAATCTGTCTCCTAAAGAGAGGTGAGTGGGCTCAATGACAAAAGTGTAGGAGTGTAAAACTCAGTTTAGGGACATTATTGAATCAGAAAACAAATTTAGTGTCAAAGGAAAAAGGGAGGATAAATCATGTCTTCCCATGAGGTGGTGTTAACACTCTCCCAGAGACAGTTTCTTATGAAGTATCCAGAGGCCCCCCAACAGTTTGCACATGGTAGGCACTCTAACATATGCTGACTGAATAAATGATGGTTTCAAGTAAAACAAGTGGGGAACTGTGTCAACCCAAATCAACTTTCCATGGGGTACACTAGCATTTGCCAAGAATCAAAAAATATTGCAGGGTAGGATCCTCTCGGTGGGAGCCTATCTTATTCAGACATGATTCAAAAACAAGCTGTAGACCTCCTCCACAGAGCATCTGGCTCTTCTTTTGTTGTAAACACTTTCATAGTCCACCCTAAGAAGGTATCAAGTGCCAAAATAATGGACTACTCTATTTCTTAGCATTTTTTATTTTAACCACATCATACCTAGTTCTGTCAAACTCTAACAGTTTGTCTTTATGCTTGATAGCTTTCTCCAGACCAGATTTAAATCGCAATTCTTGATGACGAAGAAGGTCCTTGGTAGAGATGTCCACTTTTCCAGAATTCTCTGTCCCTGAAATTCAATAAGGAAATCAAATGGTGTCAGTGAATCATACCAATTAGTTGTATCGCTGTGCAGCAAAGAACAAAATATCAGTAGATCTGGCTGTGCCCCTAATGACTGACAGCCTTCATTTCAATGGAAAATAAACAGGTACACAGGCCAGGCTTTACTTGTCAGGCATCAAGCAGCGCTTGAAACATAATACATTCTCAATAAATGTTAAGGATCCACTTCTTCCCTTATGGAAATGTGGATCACTAAGGGTAACAAACTGTTTAACAACACAATATAAAAATGCCTTATAAGAAAAACTTTATTGAGTGGGGCTAAATATCACCTTTGAACATACTTTTATATATCAAAGCTAAGAACTAAATAATAAAAGGAAAAAAGAGAAGAAATTGCACAGAGGGACAGAAATGAATAACAAGAACTTATCAGATGCTAAGGCACTTCATACGTACTATAGTACTTAATTCTCACTATAACCCTGTAAGACAGTTTATATTATGTTTATTTTACAGATAAAGAAACTGAAATTCAGAGACATTAGTAAATTTACTGAGTTCAGTAAGTCAGAAATTAAAAGGTAGAAACAAAATTTAAAGTTAGGTCTGTCTGGACTTCCCTGGTGGTGCAGTGGTTAAGAATCCGCCTGCCAATGCAGGGGACACGGGTTCGAGCCCTGGTCCGGGAAGATCCCACATGCTGCGGAGCAACTAAGTCCGTGCTCCACAACTACTATGCCTGCACTCTAGAGCCTGTGAGCCACAACTACTGAGCCCACGTGTCACAACTACTGAAGCCCGCACGCCTGGAGCCCACGCTCCGCAACAAAAGAAGCCACCACAATGAGAAGCCCATGCACTACAACGAAGAGTAGCCCCCACTCATCACAACTAGAGAAAGCCCACATGCGGCAACAAACACCCAATGCAGCCAAAAATAAATAAATAAATTTAAAATAAAATAAAATAAAGTTAGGTCTGTCTAACTCTAAAGCCCACATTCATTCCTCGGCCCATGTGTTATCTTCCTTTGTGACAACATACCATAAATCTATATATCCTAGAAAAGATAGCCATAAATTATGATAGAACCAAGATCTAAAATGTGTTAGGAAAACAACTAAGCTATAATGAAGGCTGACCTTTCCCTACACCTAAAACTCTAGGCTATTTAAAGTCCTAAAAAGAAAAAAAGTCCTGTCAAATCTTTCTTTTAAAATTTAAAAAAAAAGAGGTTGATTCTTGTGTTCTGAATATAAGAAAAGCACTGAGAACTACCTTTTCTCATAATAACGACCCTAGAAAAATCCAAATGGAAAAAATATGGAGACATGTTCTACCTCATTAATAATAATAATAATAAATTACGACTATAAAAATAAAATAACATGAAATGTCAAAACCCAATAGTGATAGGTTTTGGGGTAAAATACTAATATTGTTGTAGACTAGTAAAATATTTTGGTAAAGTAATTCGGCAAATACATCTTAAGTGTCAAAAATGATAATATTCTTTGACTCAGTAATCCCATTCTTAGGAATTTATCCCAAGGAAATAAATCAAAGATATAATATTAACAAAGTTGACCACTTGTGGTATTATTTATAATTCGGAAAGAGTCAAAGTATCCAGTAATGAGGAAATAGATAATCGATTATAATAAATAAATTTAATGACTATTTTTAAGCACTAAAAATTACAAATATGAAGAATATATGGCAACATAAACAATAATTATAAAACAGTTAAAAAAGGAAAAACGTAAAATTCTATATACACTAGGATTGCTACTTCATAATACCAACCAATCTATCTATATTTAAAAAACAACTATGAATTAAAGCAGGAACAAAATATTTGCACAAATGGAAAGTAATGAGTATATTGTTTTCTCTTTAAAAATGTCCTTAACTATTTTTGTCATGCTTTTTTTTAACTATAAAAAACTTTGAAGAGTTGCAAAAAAATTAAGAGTTCCTGTATACCTTTCATTCATCTTCCCTTGTTAGTATCTTATCTCACATAACCATAGTACAATTATCAAAAGTAAGAAATTAACAATAGTACAATACCATTAACTATATTACAGACTTTATTTGGATTTCAACTTTTTTTCCACTAATATTATTTTTCTGTTTAGGGATCCGATTCAAGATCCTACAACGCAATTAGTTGTAGTGTCTCCTTAGTCTCCTCCAAACCGTTACGATTCTTCAGTCTTTCCTTGTCTTTCATGATCTAGCACATCTCCAATTCTTAAACTTTCATCCAATAATTTTAGCATCTACTGGTGGATCTTGCCTGTAGCAATTACTATCAATACTACTGTGGTGTTGACATGGTAATTTTCTGTTACCATAATTCCTTCACTTTATTAATTGGAATTCTATAAGAGCAGTTCCTTCTCTCCCATTTATTCATTTATTCAGTTACTTCATGACATTAATTTTATTCTTTGGGTTATAATCCAATAGTATTATTATTAGTTTTTTTGCTCAATGTTAGGTGGTTTTAATAAGAACTTAAAAAAAAATAAACGAGTAAATAAATCGCATCTTACATACCAGGATACAAGTAAGAGAAACAATCACAGATACAACAAAATGTATCCATAACTACAGTGACCAGTTAGAAGACTGCTGCCTACCTGACATGAGCTTCTTCAGCAGTTTCTGGCTCTTGTTTGAGTCACGCTGTAAAATATCCTGTTCTTCACGAGTACATACCTATAAAGTAATGAGTAAGACACATGATCCAATTGTTAAATGATAGTGTTTGCTTGATATACTTAAAAAGTAACCTCAAATTACACATTAGATATGGCAATAAAATAGACTGTCAGTGTTTTTTAATCCAGACAAGTATACCAAAAAAAAAAAGTATACCCAAATGAGTTTTGCCCTAGTCTCTTTCCATTTCTCCCTTCTTTTATGAACCATACAAAAAACTGATATCACTACAAGTGTCCCTGAATAACAGTTAAAAAAAAAAATCTAACCTATTTTCAAAAGATAAAGATTTGCCACCACTGAGAATATTGAAAACATATACAAGACTTTTTTTTATAGCCTTCCAGTTCTAATCGTGAAATCTAAGTCTTACAAGAGAATTGCTAAGCAAGTGTCTTATTTATTTATGTATTTATTTTTGGCTGCGCCATGTGGCACGCAGAATCTTAGCTCCCTGACCAGGGATTGAACCCATGCCCCCTGCAATGGAAGCAGGGAGTCTTAGCCACTGGACAGCCAGGGAAGTCCCACAAGTGTCTTATTAAAAAGAGCCAGAAAAAGAAGCAGTGAAAACTAGTCTAGCTTTTATATGTATTTTGCTTCTTTGCCTTCAAACATTACCTGCTTATAAAGTAATAAACACATTAAGCAAAGAAAAAGTTCTGTTTATTATAAAATCACTAGAAGTGTAAGAAGGGAGGTTACTTAAAAGCAGAAGGGGTTACTTAAAAACAATTTCATATTAAGTTTATGAAACTGCAAGACCTCAAGGCCTATCTGCTTTACATTACTCTGTTTCTTGAATTCACCAAAGGATCCAAGGGACCTAACAGAAAACACTGTACTTGCTAGCAGTTGCCTGAGTGGCACACAGCAGCTGTAGGGTGTTTCTCTAGAGAAAAGCCCCATATGGGAGGACATTTGCTGCTGTTTTATGAACATTTTTGATGTTAGATACTACATTTTTCAGGTCATCCATTGTCTATCAGCTTACCATCTGAGTACATTAAAAAATTAAAGGCCCCACCAGAGAAGGGAAAACAAAGCAACACAAAATGTATACCTTCACCAACACCAAATGCCATTGCTTCTGCCAGTCAGCTCAACTGGCAGAATAAGCCTTCCAGACAACTCACTAGGGTGTTTGTAACAGAGTCATTACAACTACACTCTTTTTTTTTTTTTTTTTTTTTTGTGGTACGCGGCCTCTCACTGTTGTGGCCTCTCCTGTTGCGGAGCACAGGCTCTGGATGCACAGGCTCAGCAGCCATGGCTCACGGGCCTAGCTGCTCCGCGGCATGTGGGATCTTCCCAGACCGGGGCACGAACCCGTGTTCCCTGCATCGGCAGGCTGACCCTCAACCACTGCGCCACCAGGGAAGCCCCACAACTACACTTTTGAGGTCACTTACTCAGATAATGAGGAGCTATAAAAAGGAGGTGTTGGGTTTCCCTGGTGGTGCAGAGTCCGCCTGCTGATGCAGGGGACATGGGCTCGTGCCCCGGTCCGGGAAGATCCCACATGCCACGGAGCGGCTGGGCCCGTGAGCCATGGCTGCTGAGCCTGTGCGTCCAGAGCCTGTGCTCCACAAAGGGTGAGGCCACAACAGTGAGAGGCCCGCGTACGGCAAAAAAAAAAAAAAAGGTGTTCTGGAAAAAGAAGCTATAGACTTGAGGATTACATCACAGTGGCTCTGTAACTCTAGGAATATAAGCCACATCTGAAGACTGACAAAAATTTTTGACATTTCAGGCCCTAAAGTTTTCTTGAATTGAACTTAATCTGACACAAGACTTAGATCCCTCAACAAGGTATGTTCTCAAAACCTTCTCACAAATAGGCCTCAGTTCTAGGATATCTACTTGGGTTTTTTTTTTTTTTTGTACGCGGGCCTCTCACTGCTGTGGCCTCTCCCGTTGAGGAGCACAGGCTCCAGACGCGCAGGCTCAGCGGCCATGGCTCACGGGCCCAGCTGCTCCGCGGCATGTGGGATCTTCCCAGACTGGGGCATGAACCCGTGTCCCCTGCATCAGCAGGCGGACTCTCAACCACTGCGCCACCAGGGAAGCCCTCAACTTGGGTTTTTGACTAAATTTTACCGGTGGCACAACAATGTAAATCAACTATACTTCAATAAAAACAATAAAATTTAAAAAACAAAAAAGAATTTACTGGACACCTTAGGGAAGAAATTTACTAAGAAAAAGAGAAATTACTAGGGGTGTGAATGTCCCTATGTATAAAACTGAAGAGTAGTAAAATAGGAAAGAAACAATTTACCAGAGTACCACAGAATAAGCAGGGGCCGGAACCCTCTTGTTCACAGACAATACGCCCACAGATCAGACAGTTATTGATCAGCTTGTGCTTCTGGCCCAGGCAATCACAAGTGTGGCGACCAGGGATCAGGACTGCAAGCTTGTCCTGTCCCTCTTTTGTATATAAACTGACAAACTTCGTCTTCTTCTTTAAGGAGCTGCTGTTCTCTTGTGCCTGATCGTACAAAGATATCAGAAATAACATCAAATAATTAATGACAATGAAAACAGTCAAGAGAGAAAAACCTCAGTTCTGTTCAATAATAACTTACACCCTACCCAGCAACCATGGAAGAAGGAAGTAGGAGAAATACAAATGAGTTATAATCAAGGGTCTAAGTAAAGATTATGCCCTAGAAAAACTAGCTAACATACTCTGCTTTTTCTGCTAGTAGCTGTCAGCCCTGGTGGAAGGTAAATGTAGCAATAAAAGCTGTTTATGTGACATATTTATGTATAGCTAAATTGGAGATCATAGAAAACAAAAATGCCTCTAAAAGCAGATGATATTCACAGATCTGGAAATAAGAACAATCAGTAAAGTAAGAAAAATCTATAAAAAACTGACTCAATAAGAAAAAGACAGATAACACAGTGGAAAAATGGGCAAAGGACCTAAACAGGAACTTCATAAAAGAAGATATCCAAACAGCCAACAGATACATGAAAAGGTGCTCAACTTCATCAGTCATCAAGATAATATAAAATAAAACCAGTGTAATACCATTGCACACCAACCAGAATAGCTAAATTGAAAAGACAGAAAATACAGAGCGTTGGCAAGGATACAGAACAATTAGAACTCTCACACACCGTTCGTGGGAGTGTAAACTGGTATCTACTAAAGCTGAGCATATGTATATCCTGTGACCCAGCAATTCACCTCTTGGACATATACTCAAAAAAAATGGGTAAATATGTTCAACAAAAGACATATACAAGAACATTCACTGCAGCATTAGAATTGGAAAACTACCCAAATGTTCAACAGTAGATTGAATATTCACTTAACAGAATCCTATATAGCAATGAGATAAACCATGTGACACAAAAGAGTATATACTATTTAACTCCATTTATACAAAGTTCATAAGCAGGCAAAATTAATCTATGATGTTCAAAGTCAAAATGGTGTTTTCCCTTGGGAGGGTTGTCATTGTGGGGCACATGGGAGTTTTTTAGAGGAATGGTAATGTTTTATTTCTGGCTATACAGGTATGGTCAGTTTGTGAAAATTCATTTATTCACTTCTGTATGTATGTTATAAAATAAAAACTTTAAAAAGAGAACTATATCAGCCTCTGCCTTAGTCCATTCTGGCTGCTGTAACAAAATATCACAGACTAGGTAGCTTATAAACAACAGAAACTTATTTCTTATAGCTCTGGAGGCTGAAGTCCAGGTTCAGGGTGCAAGCATGGTTGGGCAAGGGCCCTCTTCCAGGTCACAGAAATTACTTCTTTGTTGTATGTGGCAAAAGGGGTTAGGGACTGTGAGGTCTCTTTTATAAGAGCACTAACCCCATTCATGAGGACTCCACCCCCATGACATAAGAACCTCCCAAAGGTCCCACTTCCTAATTCACACTGGGCATTAGCATTTTAAGGTATGAATTCTCAGTGGTACACAAACATTCAGACCACAGCAGCTTTTGACACTTAAGGTGCATAGATGCCTCTCCTCTGGTGTAGTCCTACTTTCCCTTTAAATTGAGAGTTTCTCAATCATTTCCAGAGACTGAAGTTTCAAAGAAAAATCTCAGGAGTCCTAGTGGATAGGAGAGTTATAACAATGAAGGTAACAATTCTTTGGTTACTATAAAGAGAGGTAACACGCCCTAATGTCCAAAGCCAAAACTTGAGATATACAGACAGTATCAAATAAGTCAACGGAGGTAAATGTTAAAATCTAAGACAAGTGCTAAGGATGTTATCTAATTCTAGCAGGTAGCCATTTTTCAAACTGGTCAATTATACCTTTGCTCTCAAGGATGTTTGTGAGGGGAAGACTAAAATCTCTAAGCAGAAACTTCTATCTCACTCCCTTTAAAGTATCCAGTTACATTAAAATAACACATTTGAGGGATTGAGGGCTGTGCTTTGATTAGGTCTTTTATCCATAACAGGCAGCATGTATTTATTGAGAAGGAGGAAAGACAGAGTAATAGAGGAGAGAAGGGGAGAACAGGGCAAGCCAGAAAATTCGTAACATATCACTCCTCTGCCTAAAACCATTCAGAGGGGTGGGGAGGAGGGGTTAAATAATTAAAAAACAAAATACGAAAAACAAAACCACTCACTGTCTTCCCATTGTGCTTAAAATTTAATCCAAGCTACTTATAATGACCTATAAAGCCTTACATATGGCCCTCAGGTGCTCTCTAGCCTCACCTACACATCATTCTTCCCCTGTCCACTATGCTCCAGCCACACAGGGCTTTTGATACTTCTGAGAACACTTTTCTCCACCTTCCCTTTGCACTTGTTATTCCCTCTTTCTGCATTGTTCCCAGCCCATCTCTTTACATACCGGTTCCTTTGCAGTGTTCAGGTCTTAGCTGTAATTTCACTCCCTCAGAAAGGCTTTCCCTGAATACCCTACCTACATTAGCTCCCACCCTTCCAATAACTGCCTATCACACTGCCCTTTTAATTTCTTTCATGTTAGTTTTCACAATATATAATTACTTTAAAAAATTTTCTTTGACTATCTTTTCTACCTCTCCTCTGAACCACTAAAATGTAAACTCTAGGAGGGCAAGAAACCTTAATGAGTCTTGTTTATTGCTATATCTCAAATGCCTAAATCAGTTCTTGACACACAACAGACACACAATAAAAACTTCTGAATAACCAAATGAATTGCCTGAGAAAATTGAAGACAGATTTAAGATTTACTTACATGTCCAAAAATGGAACTGGACATACAGTTTGACCATCATTTTTCATGGCTCCAGATCTTCAAATTCACCTACTTGCTAATATTTATTTGTAACCCCCAAATCAATACTCCAGGTGCTTTCACAGGCATTCATGGACACACACAGAATGGCAAAACATTTGAGTCACCAAATGCACACATTTCCAGCTAAGTTTGAGCAATGCAGTGATCTGCCTTCTTGCTTCAGCTCTCATACTGTAAACAAGTATCCTAAGTCTATTTAGTGCCATTTCTTTGCATTTCTGTGCTTTTTGTTGGTAATCTCACCATTTAATATGGCCCCCATGCATAATAGGAAGTGCTATCTAATGTTCCTAAGCACAAGAGGCTGTACCTTATATGGAAAATAGGTATATTACATGAAAGGATGCCCAACATCGTTAATTATCAGAGAAATGTAAATTAAAACCACAATGAGATATCACCTCACACCTCTTAGAATGGCTATCATGAAAAAGACCACAAATTACAAATGTTGGTGAAAATGTGGAAAAAAGGGAACCCTCATACACTGCTGGTGGGAGTGTTAACTTGGTATCATCACTGTGGAAAACAGTATGGAGGGGCTTCCCTGGTGGTGCAGTGGTTAAGAATCCACCTGCCAATGCAGGGGGCATGGGTTCGAGCCCTGGTCCAGGAAGATCCCACATGCCGCGGAGCAACTAAGCCTGTGCACTACAACTACTGAGCCTGTGCTCTAGAGCCTGCGAGCCACAACTACTGAGCCTGCAAGCCACAACTACTAAAGCCCGCGTGCCTAGAGCCCATGCTCTGCAATGACAAGCCACCGCAATGAGAAGCCTGTGCACTGCAACGAAGAGTAGCCCCAGGTCACCACAACTAGAGAAGGCCTGCACACAGCAACAAAGACTCAACACAGCCAAAAATAAATAAAATAAAATAAATAAATTAAAAAAGAAAACAGTATGGAGGTTTCTCAAAAAACTAAAAGTAGAACTACCATATGACCCAGCAATTCCACTCCTGGGTATATATCCAAAAAAAAATGAAAACACTAACTTGAAAAGATACATATACCCAATGTTCATATCAACATTATTTACAATTGCCAAGATATGGAAGCAACCTAAGTGTCCATCAACAGATAAATGGATAAAGATGTGGTATATATACACAATGGAATACTATTCAGTCATAAAAAGAATGAAAAATTGCTATTTGCAACAACATGGATGGACTTGAAGGGTATTATGCTAAGTGAAATAAGTCAGACAGAGAAAAACAAATACTGTATGATATCACTTATATGTGAAATCTAAAAAATGAACCAGTGGATATAACAAAATAGAAACAGACTCACAGATATATAGAGAATAAAAGATAGGGGTAGGGGATTAAGAGGTACAAACTATTATGTATAAAATAAATAAGTTACAGGGATACATTGTACAACACAGGGAATAGAGTCAATATTTTATAATAACTATATGTGGAATGTAAACTTTAAAAATTGTGAATCACCAGGAATTCCCAGTCCAATGGTCAGGACTCCATACTTCCACTGCAGGGGGCATGAGTTCAATCCCTGGTGGGGGAATTAAGATCCTGCAAGCCCCCCCAAAATAAATAAAAATAAAAAAATAAAATAAAAATTGTGAATCACTATGTTGTACACCTATAACATATAATATTGTACATCAACTATAATTCAATAAAAATAATAATAATAAAAATTAATAAATAATAATAATAAAAAAGAAAGGTATATTAGATAAGCTTTCTTCAGGCATGAGTTACAGTGCTATTGACTTTGACTTCAATGTTGATGATCAACAATATATATTAAATAAAGTGTCTTTAAACAGAAACACACATAAAATAAGGTTATGTTTTGATTGGCTGATGGAAATGTGATCAGAGGCTCCCACAAACCTAACCCTGTATTTCCCCTAGAAACAATGTTCTGTATACACCACGGCTTTAAAAAGAAATGAGCGGGCTTCCCTAGTGGCGCAGTGGTTAAGAATCCACCTGCCATTGCAGGGGACACGGGTTCAAGCCCTGGTCTGGGAAGATCCCACATGCTGCGGAGCAACTAAGCCCGTGCGCCACAACTGCTGAGCCCGTGCTCTAGAGTCCGCAAGCCACAACTACTGAAGCCCGTGCACCTAGAGCCTGTGCTCTACAGCAAGGGAAGCCACTGCAATGAGAAGTTCGTGCACCGCAGTGAAGAGTAGCCCCTGCTCCCCGCAACTAAAGAAAGCCCACACACAGCAACGAAGACCCAACGCAGCCAAAGATAAATAAATTAATTAAATAAATTTATTTAAAAAAAAAAGAAATGAGCTGCGTGATATCCCACAAAATGAGGGAATAATAATTTATTTAATCTGTCTCTTACTGCTAAAAAATCAGGTCAGTTCATATTTTCAATATTATAAATAACATTATACAGAACATACATTTTTTGTGTGCATTTCTGATTACTTTGTTAGATATTTAAGTCATATTAATAAGTCAGAAGTATATGAACATTTCCACAGTTCTTGATACATGCTGCCAAACTGCCCCCAGAAAGCTTAAACCAATTTACATTGCCACCAGTAGTGTATAGGAGGTTCCTGTTTTAATACAACTTCATCATCACTGTATCTGTTTTTAAAATCTTTGAGGGACTTCCCTGGCAGTCCAGTGGTTAAAACTCCAAGCTTCCACTGCAGGGGGCGCAGGTTCAATCCCTGGTCCAGGAACTAAAACCCCGCATGCTGCATGGCATGGCCAAAAAAATTTTTTAAAATAAAATCTTTGACAATTTGATATGCCATATCTCAGGGATTTAATGTGTATTAATTTGATTACTAGTAAAGTGACCAACCAACCTTGTTTGCCCAGGACTTAGGGGAAATCTCAGAATCCAGGACTTTTCAGTGCTAAAACCAGGAGAGTTCAGGCAATTAGGGTGACAAACTGGACTCCTTAAGTACTAGTAAGGATAAACATTTTTAATGTTTATTGGTCATTTGTGTTTTTTCTTTTGCTTGTGATAGTCTTTGCTCATTTTATTCCAATTAATAAAAGACTTAAGACTATTTTTTTTAAGTTCACATTATTTTAGAAACCCTTTTCCATGTTTTATCGCAATGGTCATCACTCAGAACTTTTTGATCACTACTCTTCCATCTTAGCATAATTAACTATTCCCTTCTGCTGGGAAATTTAGCTTGTCAAATTGCCCTGAATAAAAATATTTCTGCTTACCTCACAGGGCTATTTTTAGAACCAAGAGAGAATATGAAAGAGCTCTAAATGCTAAATAATGATGATGATGATGGGTAGTGAATGGCCTAAAATAGGAACGCTCTTAAAACAGCTAGAATTGTGCATTCTTTTAGTACAAAGCCACAAAAAATGTTGAAATTGAAGTCCTGGTGTATTTTATTAAATATTTTCTATCACGTCTATCTATCTATCTATAATCTCTAAGCGAAGAAGTCCTTTTTTTAAAAAATAAATTTATTTATTTTATTTATTTATTTTTGGCTGCAGTGGATCTTTGTTGCTGCACGCGGGCTTTCTCTAGTTGCAGTGAGTGGGGGCTACTCTTTGTTGTGGTGCGAGGGCTTCTCATTGCGGTGGCTTCTCTTGTTGTGGAACACAGGCTTTAGGCACGTGGGCTTCAGTAGCTGTGGCACACGGGCTCAGTAGTCGTGGCTCGCAGGCTCTAGAGTGCAGACTCAGTAGTTCTGGCGCACGGGCTTAGTCGCTCTGCGGCATGTGGGATCTTCCTGGACCAGGGCTCTAACCCGTGTTCCCTGCATTAGCAGGTGGATTCTTTTTTTTTTTTTCTTTTAGAAGATGTAGGGGGTAGGAGTTTATTAATTAATTAATTTATTTTTGCTGTGTTGGGTCTTCGTTTATGTGCGAGGGCTTTCTCTAGTTGTGGCAAGCGGGGGCCACCCTTCATCGCAGTGCGCAGGCCACTCACTATTGCGGCCTCTCTTGTTGCGGAGCACAGGCTCCAGACGCGCAGGCTCAGTAGTTGTGGCTCACGGGCCTAGCTGCTCCACGGCATGTGGGATCCTCCCAGACCAGGGCTTGAACCCGTGTCCCCTGCATTAGCAGGCAGATTCTCAACCACTGCGCCACCAGGGAAGCCCCAGCAGGTGGATTCTTAACCACTGTGCCACCAGGGAAGCCCGAAGATGTCCTTTTAATACTTATTTAATCAGGTTGTCAAAAAATATCTACCATATAGAAAGTAATATGTGATCATTATCACTCTCTAAAATTCATGCATTTGTTGAAAAGTTGCCATTCTAGACCAATTTATACCCTTCGCTCTCTGAAATGTATCAGTTGTTTGCTCTTCTCCATATAGCCAGAAAAGCCTCATTTTCTAAGCACTCACCTTGGCCAAATCAAAAGGTGTTTTGACCTCTATGGTTGTATCAGGTTCAGTAAATGCAGGAACTTCCTGTCTGTTTCTCCCTTTCCGCCTACTCCTCTTTAGCTGGTCTCCTGACCTCTGCCCATCTAAAATTTCTTTAAAGAAGAAGAAGATAATAAATAAATAAATATATATATATGTACATAGATTGGAAATAGTAGGATTCATTGGTGAATTAATAGCTAATAAAGAGAAGGCAATGCTTAATACTTAGAGTCAATATAAGAAGTCAGGCAGGTTTTTAATTATCTTTTCCTCTCAAATCAGAATTAAATTTAAACCATCATTTTCAAGATTGTAGTCAATAATAAAGACTACTGGCTAAAATTAAGACGTTAAATTAAAGAGAATTCCCTGGCAGTCCAGTGGTTAGGACTCCACGTTTTCACTGCCAAGGGCCTGGATTCAATTCCTGGTGCAGGAACCAAGATCCCGCAAGCCGTGCGGCATACCCAGAAAAAAAAAAAAGTTAAATTAAAATCTGATATTTTAGACTGTATAATAATAATGACTTATTTAGTTTGGTGCTCATCTTTTGTACTGTTTAACTTAATAGTTACTTCTAAACGCTATTCATACTAAAACTGGTCAACATTTACTTACATTCATGTACACACATAACTAAAGTTTTTCTTTAATCTATGTATAAATTTTTCAAGTTATTCTGAAGCCACATTTGTATCTATAAACAAGTATTTTTGTGATATTTTCTAAGTTGAAAAAGTCTGAACTAAAACAATACTCATTACAGATCAAGTAGAACTGAACTAAAAACATGTATACATATGATTCTGCTTAAGTTAGTTGTGAGGAAATATGGGTGACAGAACATACCAAGTCCTATAAACCAGCTAATTTATCAATATTTCAACCTTTACTTTAATTTACTTAAGTTAATTACATTAACTTAACTTACCATCTTTTTTGAAGGACTGCTGCAGAGCATCAGAAATCAGCTCCTGATCATTCTTTTGCCATTTAGTTACAAGCTCTTCTATGAATTGACCTTTTCTGCCCTCATTTCCCTGAAGAAGGTCAGTAACATATTCTCGTAACTCTTCAGCACTCTCAATTGACAAAACATACCTCAAGAAGCAAAGAAATAAGTTGTTAAAACAGGGCTAGCTTATACTATGTTTTTCAATAATCGTAACAGAGATCAAGGTAGTAAAAAACATTCATTAATCCATTACACTGTTTATTTTGAGCCAAGTTCTAGGTTAGATGCTAGGGATATAAATTTGATTAGAACAAAGACTCTGACCTCAAGTAGTTCATAATATAACCTTCATGTAATCTTGTATTTCTAGAATCAAATCAGTGTTTTGAAGATAGGTTTGTGGAGCTGTCCTTAACATAGGAATACTTTCTAACCCAAATGGGAAAAGAATGAAAAAGAACAGATAGGGCTTTCCTGGTGGTGCAGTGGTTGAGGGTCCGCCTGCCGGTGCAGGGGACACGGGTTCGTGCCCCAGTCGGGGAAGATCCCACATGCCGCGGAGCGGCTGGGCCTGTGAGCCATGGCTGCTGAGCCTGCGCGTCCGGAGCCTGTACTCCGCAACGGGAGAGGCCACAACAGTGAGAGGCCTGCATACCGCAAAAAAAAAAAAAAAAAAAGAATAGATACATGTACGTGTATAACTGAATCACTTTGCTGTACACCTGAAACTAACACAACATTGTTAATCAACTACACTCCAATATAAAATAAAAATTTTTTTAAAATTTACAGTGTACTAAATAAGTGTTTGTTTTACTATTTTTTAAATTTATTCTGACAGCAGGAGAGTTTTTAATATTTTGACACACATTTTTGAAGGTCATGGAATAATCAAAAATTTCCCCATTTTTTTATTAAGACCATTTTATTAAGATTTTTAAATTGTAGATTGCATGGTCATTTTTACAGTTCCATACTACTGTGCAAAGCAAAGACTACTTATGTCTTGATTGAGGGATGGTTACAAGGCTATATATACTTGTCAAAACTCATCAAATTTTACATTTAAAACAAGTGACTTGAATAAAAATTACATCTCAAAAATAACTGTTATAAAAAAAAAGAATACTTTCCATAACCACACATCTGCAGTCATTATATTTTCCTAGGAACAATACAAATTACTTCATCTTTATACTGCAAAACCTAAAATTTCTTTTTTGCTAAAAATATGAATATATACTATAAGCTAACCAGTTACTAATTTAACATTCTTAAAAATTATAAATCAAGATTAGCATCACATCAGAATGAGCAGATCTATTTTAAGAAAATGGTATGAAGCGTTCCTAAAAGTGAAATGGGGTGGGAGTACAAGTCAGTACAACTTTTCTATAAATCAATCAGCCAATATATTTAAAGTGCCTTAAAAAGAATCCAATAATTCCATTTACAGAACTCTCTAAGAAATAAGAGACACAGGAAAGTTTATGCAAAAAAATTAACTACATCATTATTTGAGTTAGTGAAAAACTGGAAACTATTTTAAACATTCATCAATGAAAGGGGCAAATGAATTCAAGTTTTTGGACTTTACAAAATATAATATGCGACCACAAAAAGTAAAATTTTTGAATAATTATTATTTTTAAAAAATCACTGACTTGTTTATTTTACTTTATTATTATTATTATTTTTGGCCATACCATGCAGCTGTGGGATCTTAGTTCCCCAATCAGGGATTGAACCCGCACCCTTGGCAGTGAAAGCACGGAGTCCTAACCAATGGACTGCCAGGGAATTCAGCAATTCAGTAATTTCTCAGTAATTATTATTACTTGAGAAAACACTCATATAAAGTGAAATAGTAGGACACACTGTACAGCATATGATCCCAATTGCTATAAAAGGAATGTATATATCCATACACTTATGTGGTTGAGAATCTGCCTGCCAATGCAGGGGACACGGGTTTGAGCCCTGGTCTGGGAAGATCCCACATGCCGCGGAGCAACTAGGCCCATGAGCCACAACTACTGAGCCTGCGCATCTGGAGCTTGGGCTCTGCAACAAGGGAGGCCGCGACAGTGAGAGGCCCGCGCACCGCGATGAAGAGTGACCCCCACTCACTGCAACTAGAGAAAGCCCACGTACAGAAACGAAGACCCAACACAGCCAAAAATAAACAAATAAATAAAATTTAAAAACATTAAAAAAAAGATTAATTGGCATCAAGAACTCACAGAGCTGCAAGGAACCTCAAGGATCATTTAACTCTGGAGTATTCAAACCACTAGGGAATTATTTAAAGAGTTTCAGAAACAATTGAATAAATATCATTTAACTATTTAAAAAAGTATAATAAATAACAACATATATTCAAATGTGTTATATACCAAATCTTAACAAAATAGATTCATCCAAAACATGAACTAATGCAGATTGTGGAACAAAGTTTATTTTGCTAACTCTGTGCATAGACCTTAAGGTCTCATAAATGTATCACTGATTAGGAAGGTAGCAGCTCTGTGCTGTCTTTTTAAAAAATTCAGGCTGCTCATGTCAAATTGTTCTAGCTAGCACACTAGTATAGTACACCTGGGTAATTCTCAATGAATATCAGGCAAGGCAAGGCACAGCAAATTTACACAGCCAACACTTTCATTGTGCCATCATAGCCTGTTGTGCAATAACTAGTGAAAACCTAATAAGTGTTTCCAATAGCGTTATATTATAGGTAGCTTTAGGGCTTATTTTAAGTTTTGAATAATTCTTGTCTAACTTATATTTATAAATATTTTTAAATGCAAGCAGGTGTACAGCCGTACTTATTGCTTCAACTTTAAAACAGAAATTTCTGATCACTCCTCTTTTAAGGGTGTGGATAAGTTTAACTGAGGAAAATCTAAGACTGCACAATGAGCTATTAAACCACAATCTATGAGACTTAGGAATTTTCCTAATACTGTGTAAGCAACAAAATACAACTGGATTCTGAGACTGAGAAGATTGCAACTATTCATACTCCATTGTTGATTCATCAAAAAGAGACCTCAATCTTTTTTTTTTTTAAACTGATTGACTTTTTTCTGTTTGGTATATTACAAAGCTTCATTATTTCATTTGACAGCATTCCACTGCTTTAAAAAATGCCTGAAAACTACTTAACCTGATCTTGCCTTCAAACAAGGGTAAAGCCAAGCCATACAATTTGGCTGGGTTTTTTTTTTAAATATTTTTTGTCAATTTTTCAAAATTGATGTATAAGGCTTCCCTGGTGGCGCAGTGGTTGGGAGTCCGCCTGCCGATGCAGGGGACGCGGGTTCGTGCCGCGGTCCGGGAGGATGGCTGGGCCCGTGAGCCATGGCCGCAGGGCCTGTGCTCAGCGGCGGGAGAGGCCGCAGCGGTGAGGCCCGCGTACCACAAAAAAAAAAAAAAAAAAAAAGCAAGTGCTTAAAATTGATGTATAGTTGATTTACAATATTGTGTTAGTTTCAGGTGTACAGCAAAGTGATTCAGTTACATTTTTTTCCAGATTCTTTTCCACTGTAGGTTATTACAAGATATTTAACGTAGTTCCCTGTGCTATACAGTAAATCTTTGCTGTTTAACTATTTTATATACAGTAGTGTGTATCTGTAAACTTCATACTCCTAATTTATCCCCCTCCCTTTCCCCTTTGGTACCCATAAGTTTGTTTCTATGTCTGTGAGTCTGTTTCTGTTTTGTAAATAAAATCATTTGTATTATTTTTTAGATTCCACATATAAGTGATATCATATAATATTTGCTTAACTGAGTTATTTTTGAGTCTATTCCAGTGTTCAAAATAATCCTTTAAAATTGGCTCTCTTAACTCTCTCCTTGTCAACAAGTCTATTTTCTCCCCAAATCAGAAATTCACCTTACTTCCTACAAAAGCCCTAGAACTGCAATTTAGGTTTCAGCAACAATGAACAAGGAACCAAATCAAGAAACACTTCCAGGTTCTTTAAGTCCAATTTTTGTAGAAGTTTTTCCCTCCTCCTGAACTCTGCACTGCCACCTACCCACCTTTTAGTTCTCAAGTTAAATTCATCCCTTGCAGTTAACCTTACGAGTTTCTCAAATCTTATAGTTCTTTTTCCTATGCTCCTCGATACACTGCACTTCCCCACCTCCTCACTCATCAACCGTCTTTTTGTCCTGGCATGCAGTATCGCCAAAAAAAAAAAAAAAAAGTTAAATCAGTTGAAAGCAGATATTAAATCATGTCACCATTTCCACTTCATTACAATCATAACGCGTTATAAAAGATAATCTCTGCTAATTTTTCATTTTACACATGAGGAAACTAAGGTACAAAGATGGAAAATTAAGTTGCCTAAGGCTCCAAAACTGGTGAATGACCACAGAAAATAGAACCGGGACTCCCGAGTCAGGAGCTATTTTTTACACAGTACCACGCTACCCCCATTTAAATTTCAGGTCCTATTTGACACAACCCGGATCGGGCAAACTAAAATGTTCAGAGTAAGTAATTTCTGGAAAGACAATTTGGCTTGCCCCTTCTCTCCAAAATCTATAAGGAAACTGGTTCCTGGGACAGACTTACAGGTCTAATTATCAGGGATTTGGCGTTTTCCTGGGGAAAAAAAGGCCCCACCAGACGATTGTGGAGCATGACACCCTATTCCAGAAGCTAAACTAGAAAGCCGGAGGTCAAAATTCGGCACTCATAGATACACCGCAGCCCTTTTATCACATTTCTTCACTCTCATCAACTTTTTAGCCCCCTCCGTTTCCCCGTTTGCTCAGCCAGTGCACATCCCAGAGCTCCTTCCCGCCTCTGACCCGAACCGGTCTTACTGTATTATCTCCTCACTGACATCCAGCCCGAAAGTCTTCCGCAACTGCTGAGTGCACCAGCCCACCAGCTGCTCCTGGGACAACGCCCCAGTCACCGCCATTTTCTCCAGCCGGAACCAGCTGGGGTGCAAAAGCTCGGTGTCCTGCGCCGGACTAGTCCCCTGCGCAACACCGACCTCGCTCGCGCAGGTTCCGTCAGCCTGCACTGCCCCGCTTGGTAGCACCGCCCACAGCACAGATCCCTCCCACCTGTGCCTCCTCCTGTTTCTGCCCGCTTCCTGATGTTGTCACTTGTACCAGAGCTCCATCTGCGAGTGGTTCCTCCGCGTCGTTAAATGTAGGACTCGAGAATTGGGAAATCTACTAAGACAATACAAATACCTCTAAAAACTACAGTTTAGGAAAAAACAAAACAACACCCCGTAACCTGAGGGTCCAGTTTTTAAACTGTTCTGGTTTTATGTAAAATATTTAAAACAGCACTTGAAGGCTAGAGTAAACGCTGTAAGGGTTTGCTCCGGTGGTAGTGGTTTTATTAATACCCTTTGTAGTCTAATACCTGATTCACGCTCCTAAAACCTCTTTTTTCTTTTTTGAGCCAGGTCCTTTCCAGGAGGGCCAAGACAACTCTGCAAGCTCGAGGGAGAAAAAAAAAAAAAAACTTTAATAAAAACAGGTGATGTGATTTGGCTTTGAAGACCTTCCATATAAATTCTCTGTGTTGATTTTTAAGAAATTAAAGGTACTTCAACTCAAGATGATGAGACTTAAGGGTCTTTTGCTACTTCTCTACTCCATTGGGACAACAGACTGGGGAAAATTTAGCCAGATTTTTCTGGAGAGCATAACATAACGTCTTCTGATATATTTCATGGATCAATTTGACTGGCTTTGTGTTACATGGATAGGCTCTTCATTCCCATTAGGCTATTTATACTAAATAATTACATCAATTGGATGTTGTTTCACCTTTTTATGTTAGTGTTTTCACCGACATAAATAATCAAAATCATATGTGTGTTGATTTACATTGAGTTTACATTATCTTTGTCATTAATTTGGAAAATATGTGGCTTTCCAGCTTAAAAAGACTGAATTTTCATAAATAGTGGGTACAAGCTTTGTTTCTTCATAGATGTCTGCTACATTTAATACTAATTATAACATATCCAAATCCTTTACCTGTTTTTATATCTGTTCTGTTCCCATAACTAACATGATAACTTCTTGAAGATAAACTGACAAGCTTTTTGTACAATAAGACTTAGTATATCACACATTATGATGAAATTACTAGGTCCTCAAGAATAAGTGTTCTTTTTCATAAGGAATATGTTATTGATTGAAATCTCTAGTTTGTATGTATGTAATGTAATGCCATTTACCATATTACCATTTATTAAAATGAATTTATGCCTGAGCAAAGCAAGCACACCTATTTAATATGACTTAAAGATATTCTTTTGTATAAATTTAGGCAGAAATTTCATTTGTACATACTATAACTTTTCTTAATGCCTTAGGCCTTTAAAATTTTCAGGTTCACACCACACAACTATTTTAACTGTAAAGGAGAAGCACTTCTGCAAAGCAAACATTTAAATTAAGAATTTTTACTAGACATCACTGCTTTTTTCCTGAGTTTTTATTCTAATTTGCATCCTTCCTTATCATAATTGGCATTAAAAAGACAGACATACAAACACAGCTATAATATGTAGATTGCCCCTGTGTGCAAAGGTATATTTGCAATTCTTTCTAGCAATTTACTTGGCATGTGGACTAAGAGAAAAGACCAGCAGATTCTCAACTCAGTTCTAATCTCTACAAGGATCTGGGAATTAGGTAATTCAGGCCTTTGTAGAAGCCACTTAACTGAAAAGGAAAAAATGTGCATTGAAGAAACATTGTGTATTGAGAGGGGCATGATGGCAAAGAACAAGGAGGGATACCCTAGGGCTTGTTGATTTTTCTGATAGGACTTTGGCTGTAATTTTAGACACTAAGATTTAGACAAAGCTACAGGTAATTTGCAATACCTTTCCTCCTATTATAATGTTAATTTCATCTGCTGTTTAGATTCTGTAATTCAAAAACACAAAGTAGTTGTTGATTCTGTTAAAGTACTGAGAAGCCTTTATTCTGAAAGTTCAAGCATAATTTATTGGAGAGAATTAATGCCATGCTTACACTTTCAGGTTTGCCTTTCAAGTGCACATTTAACAAAGTACATCCTAAAGCAAATTCATTTGATCAGGTTTTGTGCGTGGTATTCAGAGAGTGAAAATCATTGCTCAGGGGGTATTGTGAGTACTTAAGATAAGCATAGGGAAGGAAAATAGTTATCTCTTATTCTAAAATCACGTTCACTATGTGCCAGGGATGTGCCCTTGGCACATATGACATATTTTTAAGAAATTCTGAGACCATACAGGTCTCGGGAAAACGTTTTATTATTATAATAATGTTTCTTTTAATGTATGTATGTATATACAATTCACTGTTTTTTCTTGTTTCACACCATCCTAAAAAGTTTTGGGTTTTTTTTTTTAATCCCTGTAAATAGGGAATTCCCTGGTGGTCCAGTGGTAAGGGCCAGGAGCTTTCAGTGTTGCTGGGGCCAGCGTTCGATGCCTAATCGGAGAACTAAGATCCCACAAGCTGCACGGCCTGGCAAAAAAAAAAAAAAAAAAAAAAATCCCTGTAAATAAATTGTATTAGCTTTTTCCCATTCCATAGACTCGTTTTAGTTATGGATGCTGTAAAGAGTGTTCATACCTGAGATATTAAAAAGTCCGCTTCATTTCAGGTGTCACTTTCAGGAATGACATTATGGATTTAAGCCTGTGGTTAACTTTTAAAGAAATGTTGGAATTCGCTGTCTTTCCTGGGTTTTCTTTTCTAAGCAGGCCCCTTTACCTAGTTCTTAGCACCCACACACGGGGCACCCCAGGAAAGCGCCCTGGCACCGCCCACCTCAGGCGGGTACGAATCACAAGCTTCTGCAAGTTGATGGACGAATCAGCACTGCGCCCAACCCCGCCGCGGTCACCACTGGACACTGGCGATTGGTTGCACCTGAAAGGCGCGGAACCAATGGGAGCGGAGGCCTGGGAGAGTCAGTGGAGCGCGCGGGAAAGGGACCAATATAAACTGTGGCGGGAGATTCGTTTTCGGGGCCTTGTCCCGTGAAACATCTTCGGCTGGGGAGTCAGTTGGTTGTTCTCATCTCGTGTTTGAACATGGTGCGGACTAAAGCAGGCAGTGTCGCTGGCACGTACAGAAAAGGTGAGGCAGGCGAGCATGGTAGTGGAGGGCAGGTGGTTCCCTGGGCAGCTCTGCCGCGGGCGGGAGAAGCCGGACCTGCCCACAACCCTGGCCGCCAAACTGGTCCAGCCCGTCAGGAAGCAGCAGCCCGATCCCTTTAACGAGGAGGAAGACGCGGCGGGGACAGGGGAGGGTTATCTGCTGTTCTGGATCGCGGGCCTCTCCTCTCCAATAGGCTGGGTCGGAGAGGGTGGTGAGAACGTGGCTCTGAGACTCTTCGTGACCCCTTCTGAATGTCCTTCTTTGCCTCTCTCCGCAGTGGTGGCTTCTCGAGCCCCCAGGAAGGTGCTTGGTTCCTCCACCTCCGCCGCTAATTCCACGCCGCTTTCGTCAAGGAAAGGTAAAAAGCGCCCCTGCAAGATCCTGGAGAAACCTTCTCAAAAGGAGATCAGGCCTGGCACCACAGTTCTCCTGACCTGCGAGCCCCCTGCCCCACCGTGGAATTTCTTTTCCTGAGATCCTCACCCCCGAATTTCTTCCTTGCCTTTTGCTCTAATGAGCGGGCCTGTCTCTTGGCGGGATGGGGTAGGGGTGCGGGGCGGAGTGGGTCGCATTGTGAAGAATTTCAAGTCTCGGGTTAGGGATGGACACAGTTTCTCTTCAAACTCGTTTTTCTTTTCTACTTTAGCGTTGTTATTTTTCTTAGTATTGACAACTGGGCTTTTTCTTGTAAGAAGCTATTTAAGTACCTCTTTACTAGATTAAGAATCGGGACTATAGTTGACAGTGCTAATCACGTTTTTGTTTTCATTTCTACATATTTTTCTTTGTCCTTCCTTCCCTTTCTCCCTCTCTCCTTTCTTTCCTTTTATTTTAGTTTGGTGTCGGTGTGTGTGTGTTTTACAACTTTGCAGCTCCTGTTACCGCTTTTGGGACATTAAAAGGGAAAACCGGGCCAGGGAAATAGTTTCACATCGTTCCTTCTGTGCGACAAGTTGAGAAAATACCATGCCATCTGCTGTCTCATTCCTTTTAGGAGGAAGTTGAACAGTTTGGAAGATTAATTCCACAAGCTGTAGTTAAGAACATACAGGAAAAAGTGTGTCAAACTTTAGTATGACAGCACATAAGACTAACTGAATAGCTCAGCTTGTGGACAAAATATGAAAAATATTTTCTAGTTGTAAACATCTTGTTAATGCTATTTTTCTAGGCTAAAGGATAAGTGTAATAAAGTGTTATACATTATATTATAACTGAATACACCTTTATCATGTCACATTTAAAAATTTAAAGATGGATGTAACACCATTTAATACCCTTTAGATTTGATGTTAAAGAATTAACTTTCCCTTTAAGGAATAGTGATTGTATTCTTAATTTTTATTTAGTTCTATCTGTTTATATTTTATAGCTGAAAATAAGTATGCAGGAGGGAATCCAGTTTGTGTGCGCCCAACTCCCAAGTGGCAAAAAGGAATCGGAGAATTCTTCAGGCTGTCCCCTAAAGATTCAGAAAAGGAGAATAGGATTCCTGAGGAGGCAGGAAGCAGTGGCTTGGGAAAAGCAAAGAGAAAGTAAGTTTTTATATTCTGGAATACTTATATTCTTGAAAATAAAAGACAACAGAATATTGAGTAACTTTAAAATTTCTGTTTGAGCAGATAAGAAAATACAAACCAGAGGTTTTTTAAACTGTGCTAACCTTTTATTATAAGTCACTCCCAAATTTCAAACATCAAAGAAAGGTATTATTTTTACTCATTTCAGTCACTCAAAGAGGATCAGTTCCCATTCAGATGATAAGTGTTACATTATTAATCATGAACTTCTGGTCTTTATTCTTTAATTTTTTCTGTCTGTTTTCTATAGTCTTTTTTCAAAAAGCAATTTCTATGTTGGTTTATCTAGCTTGAATTCCATTAACCTCACCTTTCTAAAACTATTAGTTCAGCCTCCACAGGAAATATATACCCAATGTAGAAAAGTTGGAAAATATAGAAATCCCCATCACTTAGAAACAACCAAAACTAACACCGTGGTGTATTTTCTTTACAACTTCTCTGTAAATACATAAGAAAACTTCAAAACAAAACAAGGTGGGGATAAAGCTGCGAACATGCAGAGTTCATTGTGTAAACTTTTTAAGAAGATAATTAGATCATGCTTTCAAGCTTTTAATGTCAGGAAAATGCTCATGATAAATGTTAAGCAAAAATTCTGGTACAAAAGTACAATTATTGTGTAAAAGATATGTATCTAAATATACCAAATCTCTGTACAAAATATACCAAATATCAATAGTGATATATCTGGGTAAAAACCTCTTATACTCGGTGCTACCAGTTTCAACAACAAATATTTTAAGAATCAGGAAAAAAAATAATACCATTGGGGGGAAAAAAGCAATGGAAACCTGCTTTTTAAATAGATTTATAAGTAATAGTGTCCAGACTCTTTAAAGAATTTTGAAATTTTTGTTTCAAAAACAAATTATTTGACTGGAGATTGGGAGTGGTGAGCGCTGGTGGTGCCACGTCACCGCCATTATGAAGCCTCTGGCTAGATTTAAGACCCTGCTAGATACCTCCCCTGCACCAGCCAGTAGCCTGTGATCCTCCTCCACGGCACCAAGCAACGAGCCTTGCCCAAGGCGGAGTGATCACCATGGGCAAGGGGATGGTGGCCAGGCTCAGATTGGGGCTGCTGCTTCTGGTGCCGCTCCTACTCAAGCAGATTTATTCATTCGTTCCTTTAACCGACACGGAAGGTCCTCCGTTCGAAACCACAACGGTCAGCTGTGCTTTGCAGTCAACAGCTAGTCTCCTTGTGGTCTTGCTTGCCCTTCTACATCTCTACTGTTAAGAGACTTGGCCAAGAAACATCTACAGTTTACCAACCTATGTTCTAAAGCCCAATCAGTACGCCATCTAGAAGTCCAGTGTGGCAAGGAAAATAAACAGGTCTTCATCAAGTCTACTAATTCCATCCCTTGTTTTATTAACACAGAGAATGTTGAGACTCCCAAATTGGACTAGTTTAAAGAGCATCTGAAGGATTTGACCAGATAATGAAAGCCAATATTAAATCTGCTGGAGTTTCATGTACAAGACTGGAAAGAGACAACATCGAGAATTAATGATGTGATTAAGTATAACTTAAGAAATATGGATACTTCAAACTGTACCTTGCAAATAAGAATAATTTCATCTTCATCTAGAGAAAAAGGATGAGCTATGGAATGGAGATTCAGTTTCCATTTTTTTCACGAAATCTAGAAGGCGGTAAAATGATTAGGTAATATAAAAAGCTTCAGTGATTCTATTTATGATGTACACTGGAAGGAACCACCAGGTATTACCGCAAATCCTCTGTGTATTGTTTCAGCAGTCCTGGTTTAATGCTGATATACTCTCCATCAGGTTTTACACTGTTTTCACTGTTCTCTTGGGAACTTAACTCTTTTCTCTGGGGCTTTGGATTTGACATTGCATTTGACTTTCTGCAGTAACTGACACGTTCCAGGGCAATGATGGATTGGAATCTACTACAAATCCAAGCATAAGTAATCCCAGCAAATGCACTTAAAAGTCAAATAACAGGTATTTCCTATCACACATTCCCATCCAGATTTATTTAGCTAAGTTGGATCGTTTAACTTGATTCCAAAGATTAGAAGTGCTTTGACTTCAACCAGTTTAAAATATTGCTTTTTATTTCTGCATATATTGAATAACTTTTACAACTTAAAAAATTGATCTGTTTGGAAGGCATATTTGACAAATCTTGAAATTAAGAGGCAAATATATAAAGGCAGCAAAAATAATGTATATTAGGTATTTGGGAAGTGAAGACTGGAAACTTTCCTGCATTGAATTCATAACTCTTTTGTGCCCTTTCCGTAAACATATATATATAAATATAAAACTTAATGAATAGGAATAGCTACACGTGGAGCACTTTCTACATCAGTCATTATTTTTAGATGGTTCTAAGCCTAAGTGGACTTGATCCTGGAAAATAAAACTTTACAACTGCCTTGATGTACAGAAACCTTTTTAGAAATAGAAACTCTGTGAAATCTTTGGTTCACAGGTTCACACAATGATGCTTAGATGTTAAGTATCCAATATGGCCATAGTACTCTTAATAAGGTTTAAGCCAGTATTTGCCATCTTTAGAAGTCTACACAGGAACAACTAGATCCAACTGATCTCAGGTTATGTGAGATCTGTGCGTGTGAATGAACACCTCTTGCTTCATATCTGAACACTGTACACCTGTTTTGGATTGTACATTGTTTGGAATTGATTTGCATTGAACACAACTAAATAAAAATAAATGGTTAATGAGCAGTTAAAACAAAGTATTTGACGTATAAAATGATGTTTATGCATATAAAATTTTAAGACTTAATACTGTTCAAGGTCATATAGTAAATTGTTATGAGATATTTAAAAGGAGTGTCAAATTCTGGAGCAGTAACTAAATTTTATACTTTGTTGCTACATCACTATTATCATTTCTGTTTCAATAAAATCAACAAGGAAGGGGATACATTTTTGGGTAGAGTTTTTTAATAGACTTGTTTTCATGATCCTGTAAGTCTCCTTTAGTTCCTTCTCACTTACTGGCACCATTCTTCCTTGTTCTTTCTCATTCTAATGTGAACAAGCTAATAGTCAATATTAGCTCTAGAATATATGACAATCCTCTTGAATTATTTATGACTTCCATTGATGAAAGAAAATATTTGGTAATATAGCCAAATATGGCTATACCATTGATCATGACAGCAATAAAACCTATATTACAGGCTTCCTATCATATGGAAAAGATTACACATATAGTCTCATAAAGCACTTTGATCCATAGTATAATAAAATCTGTGACATAAAACTAGGTAATAGAGGTTTATATTATTACTTTAGGCCTCTGTCTTAGATTTGTTTTTGTTTAAGAGAGTTGTAGTTATCCCTTTATTTATAATAAATCAATAGATTGACTTTTTTTTCCTCACAGTTTTATTGAGACATAATTGACATACAGTACTATATGAGTTCAAGGTGTAATGATTTGACTTACGTACATCATGAAATGATTACCACGATAGGTTAGTGAACATCTATCTCATACTGACACGTTAAAGAAATAGAAAATTTTTTTTCCTTTTGATAGGAGCTCTTTCAATAGATTTACTATTGGTCGTAAATACTGGTCGAAAACTACCAGTATATCAGAAGGACTTCTGTCTCCCTAATTCTTAATCTGGAATATGGCTACTCCTATGGCTTTATTCTCACAGAGGCAGATGCATGGGGGAGAATCAGAATCAAGAAAAACTGTCTTCTTAAAACCTTGAACAGAACTATGATACCTAAAGTAAATTAAATCAGGTCCTTGAAAAAATAGAATTTTGGGTTATGATAGTGTTCATTTGTTAACTTGATTTAATTTCCAGGAAAGTACAATGAAGACTTCTTCGTAATATAAGAGTAGGTGAGTCAATGGTAATCTTATTCCAAGTCAGAATATCCTTGTTTTAGCTTCCTTCACTCACTTGCCCTGTGACCATTCAGGCTCACTGGATCTAATTTGAAAACCATTTTAAAATAGATCTCACAAATCTTTATCAGTTCTAAAAAATTATGATTAAGTTTTTAATTGACATTTTCTCTATAAAAAGTATAATGAGGGACTTCCCTGGTGGTGCAGTGTTTAAGAATCTGCCTGCCAATGCAGGGGACATGGGTTCGAGCCCTGGTCTGGGAAGATCCCACATGCCACGGAGCAACTAAGCCCGTGTGCCACAACTACTGAGCCTGTGCTCTAGAGCCCTCGAGCCACAACTACTGAGCCCATGTGCTTCAACTACTGAAGCTGGCGCACCTAAAGCCTGTGCTTTGCAACAAAGAAAGGCCACCTTAATGAGACACCCACGTGCCGCAAGGAAGACCCAACCCAGCCAAAAATAAATAAATAAATGTATTTTTAAAAAAAGTATAATGAGTACAAAATGGCTTTGGGATAATATAAATTATTTTTCAAAAGCTGTGATTACCATATGCCAACTTAAGACAATTTTGGGGTTTTTCTAATTAGATAATACATTCATATAGTTCCAAAGGGTATACAGTCAAATATGTCAACTTGCTGTTTTCTCTGCTCAAGTGGATTGGTTAAATTCTTTTGCTTTTCATAATCTCAGAGTTCTTGCTGAAGGATTGTACTCTTCATCAATCCACTTAACATATTGAAAGAAGATGCTATAGAAATAGAGATTCCGTCTTTAATAAACATGGCAACATATCCTAAAGGGGAAAGTGATTTGGCAAATTAACAGGCAAAATAGATTATTAAAAATTTTGTCACTCTAGTATTTGGAACCTGTAGGAGTTTGTCAATTAATGGAGTTTAATTTTCTCCCATTTCTGGTCAGTTGACAAGACACACTGCACTGTTAATGTTCCTGATTTACATAAGTTTTTAAAAACTACTTATGTTCTGTTTTTTAAACATTTGACTCAGGTGACTATCGAAGTTCTCTCTTCTTTCCACAGGTCATGTCCTTTGCCACCTGATCATACAGATGATGAAAAAGAATAGAAATTACTTATTCACCCTTGACTGATGTCTCCTGTTTACTCTGGTATTCTAGGATGTAAATTTGCATAAATATATTTGTTCCAATTAGCTTTGTTGAATAAGCATTTAATTTAAAAAATGAGGCTTACATTTAGTTATTCAAAAGCAAGTAGTTATGATATTGGAAAGTTTATAAGATTAATTATGGTTACTTAACTTAGTATTCAGTATAATGCAGTATTCGGTTTCTTTTACCTGTTAAGCTTTTTCTTGCTAAAATTATTGCATGGTGTTCTACTTATGAATCTGCTGTTTTTGAGATTTGCTTAGAATTTTGTACTGTTGCCATTTTTATTGGCATTTGATTATTGGAGTGATGCCATATTTTTGTTCCTTTTATTTGCTTTAAAAAGCAGAGGTAGATTTTTGCACATTAAAAAATTCAGTATTAATTAAACTGAACCCATACCCTTTTTAAGAAAGGGGGCCAAAAATGGAATGTTGAAAAAATTTGGATGGCCGTCTACCTTCTTAGAAAAATTTAAGGGCAGTTTTGTCTTAAGGATTTAAAGGGTTGATGAAGCTTCTAAAAACAACAACAAAAAGATAAAATACTCGCATAGAATTGGGCAGGAAAATTCCATAGACTACATTAAAAGAGAGGAATTTTCCTAGAATATGCAATTGGCTTAGTGTCATAAAATATTACTCTTTGGGCCTATACTTTTCAAGTTGGAAATCAATAAAATATGAAAGGCAAATCATGCCATAAGCCCAGAACTATGTCTAAAGTCCTTAGAGCTACTATTATATTTTTCAAGATAGTCAGGGGTATAATTGAAGAGGTGGGTATAATAGTATTTATAACTGATATTCTTGCTTCCTCATCAGGCTTTTTGCTCACTGACAACCTGTTATCAAAACTAACCATGTTTAACAGGAATGCTTTCCTGAAGTTTGTTTTTAATAAATGAATACTCATTGTCACAATACTATCCATATGTGTGCTTTCTAAGATTATATCCTACTAGGTATTTCTATTTTATTCCTTCCAAATGCAAATCACTGTACTGACCTGATTTTATCAACTTCCAAAATAAGTCCTTATGACTGTAGATTGTATTTTTTGCTTTGTCTTTTAGAGGTGGATATTAAACGTAATGATACTGAATTGAGACCAGAGTTTTCATCCTAAGTGCTTCCTTGACAATTAGGCTTTTGATGGGTATGAAACCTGATTTGCTATTTTTCATTGATGGAGAGAGAAACTTTATGGTGGTGTGTCCAATGAAGTCTAATTTTGGTACGTACTTGTTTCCCAAAAATTTGACCTAAAGAACCTACAGTCTTTTCAAATACAATCCTTTCAAAATATATAATACTTGGTGATGTCTAACTTTATTAGGCAGAGGTCCCATGTAATCTGTTTCGTTGTCAAAGGTTTTTTAAAATGTAGATTGTCAATTTAGCCTCTTCTAAACATAAGAGAAGGACAGACTCCCCGTTTACATTGAAATTGAATCAAAAAATAAATTATACATTAAAAATATAAAGTAAGCTTTAATTTTGTACCCTTCACAAAGTTAATCTGATTTTCCTTTTTGAATGGATTATTCAAATAATTAATGTTACTGTTCAATTCCGGAGCAAACAATGATTAAAGCTACTTTTATGGAATTTTTGAATGCTAATGAAATTTGTGAGGATCATATGAATTTTGTGTTTACATAGTTTCACAAAGGAAGATAATACTATATGAAAATTATAAAGTGTGCTCAGAGTTATTTATGAGATGACAAATACTTGTCATTTTTCTAAAAAGCAGAAAATAAAGCCTAAACTAACTGAACTTTTCCCATATGTATATATACACTGCTTATAAATCTCACTGTACTTAGAATTCTTCACGCTAACTCACTTTTGGAAAAACTGAAGATTCAGCTGGACCTTGGTCCAACCAACATTGTTAAAATGGTTCCTTTTACCTTTGAGGATAGCCTATGGAGGTGGAAAAGATTGTCACTGAATCAAAACTGGGAGGAGTGTTAGAAGTTGTTCAACCCAAGCCAGCTATAGCTTTTCATTAGATGGAGTATTTTATTAGCTGGCAATGACAATCGAAAGTGCTACAAGTTAAAAATTTGATTTTTTTCTTAACTCCCCTCCTCCTCTTCTTGGTTCTGTCCTTGAAATAACATAGAACAAGTTACTCCTTCCACATAACAACCTTCAATTATTTAAAGATAGCTGTTACATCTTTAGCCTTCTCTTCCTAAGGCTAAACATTATGTTGTTTATGTCACATGTATCCTAAGTGAGTTTCTCTAAGTCCCTTGTACAAGAGGCCATGCCTTGTGTGTGGTATATTGCTTAGGCAGATAAAAAGTAAATCTGGCTATATTTCTTCTAACTGATCCCAAGTATTCATTGATTTTGGTATCTTTTATGTTTGTCTGTTTTGTCTTTTGTATTTGGAGATGCCAATGGAACTCTAAGAATATTTGAATTTTTAAGTAATAATTATTAACAGAGTATTGGGTTTCCCAAAAATAAACGTTATACAACCTAATTCTTTCTTAAATGATTACAAGGCACAATTTAAAAATGACAAAAAGCTTTCAAGAGATTGAGAAAAAAGGCTAGAGGTCCTATATTGATTTGAAGGATGAAGGTACTATATTGACCTTGAAGGCTATTTGAGATCTACCGTAGATTTGAGAGCACTGTCTTAATTATGGTTCATATTAAGAATATTGATTGGGGACTTCCCTGGTGGCCAGTGGTAAAGAATCCGCCTGCCAATGCAGGGGACTCGGGTTTGAGCCCTGGTCGGGGAGGATCCTACATGCCGCGGAGCAACTAAGCCCGTGCGCCACAACTACTGAGCCTATGCTCTAGAGCCCGCAAGCCGCAACTACGGAGCCCGAGTGCCACAAATACTGAAGCCCGCGTGCCGAGAGCCCGTGCTTCGCAACAAAGAGAAGCCACCGCAATGAGAAGCCCACACACCGCAACGAAGAGCAGCCCCCTCTCGCTGCAACTAGAGGAAGCCCGTGCGCAGCAACAAAGACCCAATGCAGCCAAAAATAAAAATAAATTAAAAAAATCAAAAAACGAACAAACAAACAAAAAAAGAATATGGATTCCTGGGGACTTCCCTAGCGGTCCAGTGGTTAAGACTTCACACTTCCAAGGCAGGGGGCGCTGGTTTGATCCCTGGTCGGGGAACTAAGATCCCACATGTCGAGTGGTGTGGCCAAAATAAATAAATAGATAAAATTAAAAAAATAAAATAAAAGGTTGATTTGGGTAATAATTTTAAAAAAAGAATATGGATTCCTGTGATACTGCTCACAAAATCCTAAAAGCGTAGTTAAACGCACATAGCTAGTTTTAGGTGTGGATTGTGCTATATTTATTTATTTGAATTTTTAAACATTTATCAACATTTTAGGTTGATTTACAATAAAATGTATATGTTTTCAGTGTACAATAAAATGTATATACCTGTGCTATACATCTTTAGAGGTCTCCAAGTAATGAGTATGTTAAAAGTGATGGAATTATACACGTCGTGATCATTTAGGAGTTAAGCCAGGTATTCATACACCTATACAAAAGTGACTCAGTAATAATTTTTTAAAAACTGTAGGAAGAGAGGATCTAAATAAATGCTGTTATGTGCTATTATAAGTCATATTTCTTCAGACAACAGGAAAAATGAATGATGCATAGGAATTTGCATTTTTGTATTGGCTTAAACTACCACATTTGATCTTAACTATTTGTACCCAATAAAACATTTCTTTCTATAGAAAAGATTTACTGTATTCATGTTTTTAATTTTTTAAAGACATCTAAGTCCACCATAGTTTTATTTATTTTTTATAAATTTATTTATTTATTTATTTTTGGCTGTGTTGGGTCTTCGTTGCTGCCCGTGGGCTTTCTTTAGTAGCTGCGAGCAGGGGTTACTCGTTGCGGTGCATGGGCTTCTCACTGCAGTGGCTTCTCTTGTTGTGGAGCACGGGCTCTAGGCACGTGGGCTTCAGTAGTTGTGGCATGCGGGCTCAGTAGTTGTGGCTTGCAGGCTCTAGAGCACAGGCTCAGTAGTTGTGGTGCATGGGCTTTGTTGCTCTGTGGCATGTGGGACCTTCCTGGACCAGGGCTTGAACCTGTGTCCCTTCCTTGGCAGGTGGATTCTTAACCACTGGCCTCCAGGCAAGCCCCAGCAAAGTTTTAGATAAGTTGTTGCTCATTGGGCTCATAATTTTATTTACTTTTCTAATTCAAAATTTTTAAATATTTAAACTTGTTGCCAATTGAAATACCAAGCTCTGTTTTGTCATGGTAACAGATTTATCACTTGTCAAGTACAGCCAGGTTTTTTTTAAAGAACAATTAATGACTGGATGTGCTCAGATTCCATTTGAATTTTGTGTGTGTATACTCCCACATGTATGCATTTCCATGGCAAGGGTGGAAATGTTTTAGACTTCTTTAACAATCTACTAGTGACATTTGAACCTGAAGTGATTTCCTAAAGGTTTTGCTGAACTGACTCTCTTGGTGAATCAATTTAATGCTGTGTCACATGTACAGGAAACCAACAGACCTGCTATTTCTTTGACGTTACCAAAAGTCATTTCCTCTGCCCCAGCTAGGTGGACAACAGTCCAATATCGGTGACTAAGAGGTTATCATGACCAGTAAAATTATCATGACCAAATTATTATGACCAATAGCCAGCAGTTGCAAAGACATTCACTGCCATGGACTAGAGAACAAATTCAGGAGCTACTATTAAGCTTTATTGCTTTTAAGCAGACCTATTCAAGATAGGAAAGTTAAGCCAAGATTTTTACTCATTTTCCTCTGAATGCCTAACTATATTTCTCTGAATATTTAACTGCCATAATAATATAGGTCATTTTTCTAGAAAGAGGATTAATTATGTTGCTGGCTTTTGCTCCGAGCAGTGGTTTTCCCAGTATTTTTCAAGCTCAGATCACCCCAACACAAGAATAAATTAGGTCTCTTATTAACTTTTCTTGTCCACAGTATAGGATTGAAAGTTTATTCTGAGTGGAGGATTAAATGTCTTCCTCCTTCCCAAGCTTGATCACCGGCTTCCTTTGGCCTTTTCTCATTGTTTTTTAAGGATTAATTATTTCCACATCATACACAAGCATGTGCAATCCTTACAAAAGAGATGGGTGAAGACAAAACTTTCTCACCATTCGGTTTCAGGGGCTATCACAGGAGAACGAAGTGCATGAAAAAGGTTTCATAACATTGGAGGAGACTTTAAAAGCTCAGTAGAAACACAACTGAAAATCCACAAGAGGGAGATGCTTGCTAAACCGCCAGAAAGTAACTCCCACGAGGGACCTGAGACAGCCTTAACAGGAGCCAATAGGTCCGCCCGGGATTCAAGGCGGGAGGGAACAGGAGTAAATAGTGGCTGGGGGGAGTACAAGTGAAGGGGAAAGCAGGATTGGCTTCGTGACTTTGGCAGCGAAGCCCGTGCTCAGCCCAAGACCAGGAGCAGAAGCTAAGAGTGTGTTGCCAAAGAGGAGTACACGCTCCCAGCTACCTCCTGTTAGTCCCATAAGTAATGGGGGCGGTTGTCTTTGAAGGCACTTCCGCTTAGCAACCCCACGCGGTTGCTAAGGAGGGACGGTAGCGGGGATGACCCGGAAGTGGTGGTGTCTATTTCTCACTGCCTGCTTTAAGTTTGTCCTATAGGGAGCGCCAGGGTGCTCTGCGCCGGGCCGAGGGTGGGGCCAGCGCTAGAGGTTCCGGTTCGGCTTCTGCGACCCCTCGGCTCCTCGTCTTCCCCCTCCCCTCCCGCGCCTCTCCTCCCTCCCGTTCCTGGGAACGGGAGAAGCCAAAGCTGCGGGTGGGTAGAGAAGCGCTCGGCGCCTCCGGGAGGGGGCTACGCCCGCCCCGTCTGTACCCCGAAGCACTGCCAGGTACTCTCTCCGGCTTCGACGGGGTCCGGGAGGCTGGAGCTTGAGGATGTGTGTGTGTATCTGGGGGGTGGTGGGGGCCCCTTCTCCGGCTCGGGGAGGGGAGCGCGGAGATCCTGGGTGGGGCGCAGGCCGGCGTGTGTGCCCCTGGCGGGTTGCGGGGGTGGAAGGAAAGGGCTGGGGATGACGGCTGGCGGAG